TCTCTGGAAGATTTTACCAGATTAGTGCAGTGCAGTTTGCTTAGTTGTTAACCCTGCTGTTGTACTTTGGGCTGCTAAGCCACATTCACTTTCAACTTCACTATTTGGAATGTGATCATTTTACTGATATTAACAAGTCAAGCTGATCCTAAGTTCTTGGTCAGTTAGACACAAATCTTATTCTCTGAATGACCACCATTTCCCCAAATTCACAAATATTCCTTTTACCATGACCTTGTTTCCTATACCCACTATTTGTTGGTGTTTCAGCATTTTATTAGATGGTGTGGTGATTTTAAAATATGTCCACCACAAGGGCTTTAGTATGTTTTCTTTCAATTCTCTTGCCCTTGACTGTGGGCGTCTGGACTTAGTGACTTGCTTCTAATGGACAGAGCAAAAAAGAAGCAACAGTGCACATTCTGAGATCAGACTATAAAAGAGAGTGGGCCTTCCTCCCTGCTCACACTGGGAGAAGCCAACAGCCATGTTGTGAGGACATTCCAGAAGGTTATAGAGAGGCTTCCTGCCAACAACTAGCCCAACTCGCCAGGTGTGCGAATGAGTCACCTGGAAGCGGGTTCCCCAGGCCAGTCCTGCCTTCAGAGAACCACAGCCCAGCTGAGCTCCTGACTGCAACCTCATGAGACACCCCAAGCCAGGGCCCTCAGACAAGTGGATTCCAGCCTCTTGAGCAACGAAAATTGTGTGATTCTCTCTCTCTCTCTCTTTCTCTCTCTCTCTCTCTCTCTCTCTCACACACACACACACACACACTCTTAAGTTTATTTGGACAGCTTCTGACAGAATTTGGCATTTATTTTAAATGATTTTTTCTTTAGTCACTTAGTTTTGGGGGTAATTTATTCTCTAGCAATAATGAATATAGGTGGACTGACTTAACAGCTTTTGTAGATGTCAGCAAGGTTTGAATATACGGGCTTTCATTTTGTCTTCAGAGCATGTCTGCCCACGTTCTCTGTGGCTTTGGTGGGGAGGGACCCAGGAGAGGGAACATGCTGGAGGTCACCATACTGCAAGGCCCAGGCTGCTCATCCTTGGGCAGAGGGCATGCCAAGGGGAGTGGAGAAGGGCAGACCACAGGCCAGAGAAAGGGCCGACAAAGGGCAGGGAGGAGGGGGTCCTGGGGGGCAGAGGACAGTCTGAAGCTCTGGCTTCTCCCAGCTCTCTGAGGCCCTACCAACGCAACCCATAGGGACTGCTATAAACTTCACAAATATTTAAAGGAAACACACTTTCAGTAAATTGGTAATTTGGTGAATTGGCCACTCAGCAAATTGGTCATTTGGCCAACAGATTTTTGGCAAGCACACATTTGGCAAGTTAATTTACAATGATTGGTCTCTTTCTAATTAAGTCATAGGTAGTAATTTTTATGTTCCTAAAGTAATTTATTTGTGAAAGATACTAATATATTTAATATATTTATGTAAACACACACACACACACACACACATATATTTCAAATTCCCAAAGGAATTCATTAATTTCTCCTTCCAGAGACCTCTCTATGACTTTGAAATGTCTCTTTTTAGGGGAGGAGACCTGTGAGCGAATAGCTCTCTGTGGTTTTAGACTGCTTGTCATGATTAAGTCTCCACCTGCCACTAATTCCTGGAATAGCCATCCTCCCTGGGAGGAAAATGCCATTTTTCACTTCAAAGCATTTATAAACGAAGACAAATTCTAGGCATGACTGCTTGGAGGAAAGTCCTCCCTTAATTTTAATTTTGGCTCTCTTAGGTTCAATGGGATGATCATGAAAGGAAATTCTAAAGTCTTAATTCTATGAAACAAAAAAGCACCCTAAGAAATTAGTGGATAACAGCGCAAGCCTCCTTTCCCTGGTTATTTCTCGAGAGTGAATAGTCAAGAACGGACAGAACTCCCACAGTGGGGACTAGAAAGCCATTGCGTGTTTAACAGAAGAGGTCTGCTGCACCCTATCCCTAGGCCTGGCCAGGAATTGAACTCAGGCCATCAGGGTGGGCTGTGGTGGTGATAGCACTGAGACTTAACCCCTAGGCCACCAGGGAGGGCCCATTTTCTCTTTTCAAAGCATCTGCAAGGGCATGGCGTCCCCTGACATTTAATATGGTGCTCTCTGGCCCACCTCTCTGCCAGGGGTCAAACGTATTTTAGGAAACTGCATTCAAATTTGAGAACAGGGAGAAAAAAGGAAGAATTTATCCCACTTGAACAGACATAGAGTCACTATCAAATGTCTCCCAGCTCCTATATGTCTATAAAATGTGGCCACAAAATCATTTAAGTCCCCTTTCATCAAGATGTGGTGTTTGTGTGCTTCCCCTTGAATTTGGGTAGGAGAGAGGCCTGACTTGTGGAAGACCATGAGCTTGGGTCTGGAATGTCTTGGAAGCTTGCTCTTGGCTGCCCCATCTTGCAATCCAGTCACCAAGCTGCAAGAAGTCACAATTATCTGAGGGCTGCAGTGAGAGTCCTAGCTGAGTCCCACCTTGAAGCCCCCAAATGATTTAGTGCCTTGTGCTACCCAAGGCTGGGCCTAACGTGAGGCTTGCTCTTGTGATTTGGTGTCCTCAAACTCAGAGAAATCTATCTCCAATCCTTTGTGGCCACCTCTGTCAGGACCACATCCAAGGCCTGTCAAGCTCCCCCGGCTGCCCTTGGGGGAGTTTCAGTGGAAGCTGGATGCTGTATTCTGTCCCAAAAGGTCCACTGAGGCATCGCATGAAATGGTTCCCCCTAGTGGACAATGGTTGTATTCACATCCTCTAGGCTGGTTAAAAACCTCATTCACCAGAACTTTCCTGAGCAAATGTATGAGTCTGGCATATTTGAAATGATGTTGAGGCATACAGTTTCACTGTTATCGCATGAGCAGACATCACGCCAAAGATGTCATGACAAAGTTTCGTGTCCTGCTGCCACTGCTACAATTTTAGTTTTAGAATAAATACAGGGGGACTCAAAATTTGGTCTGATATGGGGAGTTGTCAGAACAGTTCCAACTCTGGAGGGGGTTCATCAGCATAACTAAGGCTAAACCATTTTTTTCCAAAAAGCACTCAACAAACTTCTACTGAGCACCCACTGTGTTCCAGGCCTGGTACTGGAGCAAGAGATGAATCAGATCCAGTCTCTGCCTGGAAGTTGCTCAGGTCCAGAGGAGAAAGGGAGCTAGGAAAGCAACGCAGTGTGTATGTCCAGAATTCATTCACTCACTCACTCTCTCACTCCCTCAACTCAACATGTAACTAAGCCTTACCATGCTGGGGACCACTGAGGATATAAGGAGGAAAACTGTAAGAGTTGCACTAAAGTTGTGCACAGTCTATGTAGAGGCCAGGTCCCTCCCCTGCTCCAACGCCAGCCACTGGACCTCGCCAGTGACCTTTACTTAGGTCCCTCACCGCTCCACCCCCTCCCTGAGAGAACTCTGCTGCACCAGAGAATTACATAGCGTTACTGCTCAACACACAAAGTCCACATACTCACACTTGCAGGAGTCAAGCAAATTAAAAATTGACAATATTACTTAAGGAAAAATACAAATGACATTCAATTTCAAAAAAATACTCTAGGTTGGAGGTGAGCTTCCAGACCTTCATGGATCTACCTCAGGATCTCGCTTGCATACCTGACCTTGGTACCTACCTGCTCCTTCTACCCTTTCCAGACTTCCTGGGCCTGGGGCTCAGCCTGTGATCTTGGACAGAGATATGTTCTGATGCCCAGACCTTTCCTGCTAAATGAGTTTTTCTGCCCTAGCCCCCTGGGCACTGCCCACCCACTTCCATCCCCTATCTCATTTTCCACACTAGGCAGCTCCCAGTCCTGTCCTCTCTTCCTTCCCTAGGCCTCTGGATCCTGCTATACCAGCCTCATTGTTGTATGCACAACCCAAAAGGCCTCCAACTGTCCTTCAGCCTCAAGTCTTCCCATGGCTCTGGTCCACTAAGCACACCACACCCAGGCAATCTTCCTGCGACACTGCTTTCCCTGGGCCACTTACCTGCTCATGGTTCACTTCTTGATGCTCTCTGCTGGAGGGGGTACCCACTACTCCAGCTGGCATTTGAGGTATTCCTAGATCTGGTCTTAGCCTAACTCTCTAGGTCTTCCTGGACTGAGACTTCTACCAGACCTTTGCTAAATGATCTACCTGTCATTCCCCAGACACACTTGTTACCTCCCTATGTTTTGGCCTTTACTGATACCATTCCTCCTTCTGGAATGATCTCTGCTCTTTTTTATCTGCCCCATTCTCCAAGGCTCTACCTTGTCATCAAACCTTTCTTGACCTCTCCTTTTGGGAACAGTCTCCTTTTTCTGAACCACCTTAGGAAGGGAATGACATCCTGCCACGTTACATGTAAAAAGCATCTACCTTGAGGTCAGAACAGACCTATGTGGTTTGAATCTAGCGAGCTGTGTAACCTTGGGAAGCACACTTTATCTCTTTGTGCTCCAATGCTTTCAGTTTTTAAAATAAAAAATACCCACTTCCACCATTCATTCATTTGAACATTTAAATATCTAGTATGTGCCAGGCTCTGTATTCTTGTGGTTATTTTGAGAACTAAATGGAATGGTGCCTGCACAGTGAGTGGTGCACAGAGGTACTCATTAAATAAACACTAATACTACCATTAGCCAATATAGTTGCTTAGATGAAGGACATTGCTCAGGGTGACTTTGGTCTAGAGGGCATGCACCACAGAAGACTGGGAACCAGAGATAGCTATGGACCCAGGCAGATTCTAACAACTGTTAATATACCACATGGTTAATTTGAAGCACAGAACATCACTGCCATTTGTGAGTAACTTTCCCATCCACACCAACCAGCATCTTCCAACTGCCTTGGCTGTCTAAGGCACCAAAGATAGGACTTTATGTGACTGAGAGAAAACTTTTAAGAGCTATTCTCCTTAATGCTCAGCACCTCCCACCCGCCCTGGCCCACCATCAGGAGCCGAGCCTGCTGCCTCCCCTACCTTCGTACTGGACTTCCAGGTGCATTGTGCGCAGAACATTCAGCACGCAGTCCACGATGCTGGGGTGTGTGCTTCCGATGATGGACTGAAAAGACAGACAGCAGGACAAGGTGGTTACCTTAGATCTAGTCTACCTGGGAGAAATGAAAAAGCAGACTCCCAAACAGCAAGGTGGCTGAATGGGGAGAGGAAGAGCAGGTGCAAGATACTGGGCATTGGCCCTACGCCAGCGAGGTCAATTTCTTTTTGAGATGAGGGGCAGAGATGGGTGCTGAGAATTAAACTGAGAGTCTGTCGAGGTTGCCACTGCACCCTCCAGCTCATGAGGCATGCAGCTGAGGCTAGCTGCCCACCTGCTCCAGGGGCAGGGACAGGTCAGCAACATTGGCTGGGAGAAGGGTGAAAACTCCCCAAGAACCTAAAATCTTCCTCTCTCGGGAACCTCACAGAATCAGGCCATTCCTCTTGCTACCTCTTCAACCTTTACCTGTGCTTTGGTTCCTGTCCTTTAGTATTAAGCATCCTCTAGCTCACCCAGATTGAACACAGTTGTCATTTGATTCTGCCTGCTCTTGCTTTTCTCCCTTTATACCCAGGAAAAGCTACTTCTTCATGCTCCATGTATCCTTTGATAGGTAGTTGCAATTTAATTTTTCCTGCTATAGGACAGTGCCCTAATTCGCCACAACTTTTCTAGCTGGAGACATCTTTCTGTTCTACTCACACTCAATCTCTTTATTGATCCAGCCAATCATGTCCTCCTTATTGAAACTCTTTTCCCTTCATTTTTACAGTCCAGTTTTGTTTTTTTTTTTTTGTGGCTTTCATTGCTCCTTTTCCAAGAGGCAGAGTGTTATATGCAAAGAATAAGGACTCTGATGTTAGAGATAATTGAATTTAAATAACTACTTAGTAATCTTTTCCTTAGTGAGTTCACACAAATCACTGAACACCCCCTTATGAAAAGACAGACAGCAGGACTTTAAAATGGGGATAATAATAGCTGCCTCCATCAGCTATTGTGGAGACCAGGAGAGATAAATAAGCACCAAACACAGTGCGTGGCATGTAGGAGGCACTTACCAAATGGAAACTGGAAAGCTTAATGATAATCTGATCTATCTTGCTAGAACTTCTTAAATATTGGTGGTTCCTTGGCACTGTCTACCTGGCTGATCTTACTTCAGTTGTTTCAGTTATCACCTCTCTGCTCATGAAATCAAACTGCCATCATCATTTTGGGACTTTCTCTGGGGCCTGAGAATTTTACTTTCTACTGTCCAATAAGTATCTCTACTAGATGTCCTGGGCAGTGTGATTCCTCACTTAAGATAGGAATCAGATTACTTGGGAGCTTAAAAGAGAAAACAAGTATTACCAAGGGCCACCTGAAAGCTGTCAGATTCTACGGGAAGGTTCAGCTCAGGATTCAGTAATTTTTTAAGCAACTGACCTAACCTTATCTCTGCAACCAGTTTGGCCTACATCTCAGATGGCATCTAGGAGCCACCAAATCAACTGGGTTTAGGCCTAACCCTCCAAGTAAAATCGGTTTCTCCCTGCTCTTTCTTGGTGACACACGGCTCACCCTACTGTCCAAGTCTATCAAGGTTTGTTATCCGTGACCTCTTTTATTACCCCAAGTTCTTGTAGTCTACCTCGGAAATGTCTGTCCATTCTAGTCAGTAAGACCGCTGTTCAGGTATGATCTCTTAATTGACTCCCTGCTCCCTCCCACCCCATCCTGGACACCTGCTCTGAGAGCTCTATAGATCATCTCAAAGCCACTCTTCGAGCCTCGACTCTTTCTTTACTACCCCTGGGTCTGCATGTGGTCACCATCCCCCAAATCTGACTTCATTCACATCCCCAGGCACTGTCTGAGAGGAAGGCAGCAACTGATAAGAGAAAGGAACTTTTCCGTGCACTGAGTTCTGGTTTTTTACAAGCCATCTGCAAATGCACCAGGTTTATTTCCTTGTTGAATGGACTCCTCTAATTTTTTCTACAGTGCTTTCATCACCTTTGTTGCTTGTCTCAACCACTTTTAAGTCTTCCAACATCCTTCTGATCCTTAAGTAAACAGGACAAATCACTTGGCTGGGAGACATGAACTCTCTGCTCTGCCTTGGCCTTTTGGAAGTAATGCTGATTGAATAGCAGACATGCACTGGGAGGCTGAGCTCTGTTCTGCGTGCCTGCCCAAAAGGCAGCTGTGCAAGGTAATTGTGAGAGGACTGCATCTGAATCAGAACCACGGAGCGTGCAGCCTGGGCTCACCTGGGCAGTCCTGAGAGTCTGCAGGGTCAGCTGTTGAGCTTTCGGGCTTACGCACGGCAGCAAAGCTATTAGACCTTTGTATACTTGATTCTGGTACTTTGGATTGCCATGGACCAAAGAATCCAACAGAATCTGTACTTCTTCCTGGGTCTCTTCTGACTTACATGTTGCCAAAAATTGTGCTATGGATCGTACACCTGAGCAAGGAAGAGAGGAAATGCTAAACTGGAAGGATTTACAAAAACAATCCTTATTCAAGATTACGTAATGAGTAATATTATGTAACAGGTAACACCAGACCTGTTCAACAGAGCAAAATTGAGGCTTAGTCCTCATGCCGTCTCGTGACTTCATGCACCTCTGACTATGTGGCTGGAGGCTTTTGTTTCAGTATAGCCTTGTCAGCTGATCAAAATCTTTTTCAAGAATGTAAAGTCATTTTGCAAAATGCAAAATGCTTGATTACTAACACATGGATAATGCTCAGCAGTTCACAAGATGTTTTGACAAACACCACCTTATTTAACCCTGGAGAAATCCTGAGAGGGAGTTGTTAGTCCTGTTTCATGGATAAACACTGAAGATCAGGGAGGCCCTGGGGCAGGGCGGGGTAGTGGTGAATGGACATAGAGGAGAAACACAGTGAAGGTACAGTGAGCCAAGTGCTTCGAAAAAGGGGTTCATGAGGGATGATCTCTCCTTACACACCTTAGTCAGAGCATTGGGCAGCCTGCACCATAAGCTCTTTTGAGGACAGGGTTATCTCTTACCCATCCCTGTATTTCTAGCACCTTAGTATATAACTAGCACACATGTTGAGTAAGGCTATTTCACCTTTCTTTCTACAGTTACCCATAACTCACTTTTAACTTCACAAAGCCTTTTACGCCATGACCTCATGAATCTTTGTTGAATGGATACATGAAGAGGATATGTTTAAAGTGGAGACATATTTCCAAAACCACCATGGAGAGATCTGAGCAAATGATGAATCAGGGAAATCACAAGTCTGGGTCTTCTGGCGGTGATGAGAGCGGCTGACTTGGCCCACTGTACAGAGAGCCTCCCATGCAGCCAATTCTGTGATGCCTTTTCCTACAGCAGTGGTGGGTGCTGCCACCATTTCACCCAGACCCTGAGGGAGACATGAGATTTGACACCCTTGTCATACATATTACCCACCATAGCTTTCACAGATGAGCTCCTTATATTTCCTCCCAGAGTTTGCAATAGTCTGAAGTAGCTTGATGGATTCCTTCTTGTCTTCTTCCTTGATGTTTTCCAGTCCAAGTATTTCCAAGAGTGTTAGGACACCTCCAACCTCAAGAAATTCTGTAAGGTACCGATAACTGTCCAGAGGGAGAAGAGTAGAAATAAAGGAATCTCAGTGTCCTTCCTTCATAGACTTTGCCCTCCTAGTCGGGAAATGTTCATGGGCAAAGTGACACAATAGTTTGGAAATCCTTCCTTCCGGCAGGAATGCGAAAGTTAAACACACGGACATTTTCTGTGTTTGGCTTCCCAGCATGTTCCTCCTCTTCTTGAAACAGCACCCCACCTGTCCCTTTGGTTACCACCCCTCTGCAGCTGATGGGCAATATGATTTTTTTAAAAAAAGATTTATTTATTTATACATGCACTGGGTACAGTCAGAAGTGCGGGAGGGTGAGAGAATTCACCAGAGCCAGAGCGGGGAGCAGAGCAGGCAGAAGGACCAAAGTACACTGCTGAGGGGAGCAGCGGGCAGCAGGAGAGGTCTGCGTACCATGTGGGACCCTTGCCCAATGGCCGGGGATCGAACTGGAGTTGCAGAGGCTGTGGGCAGCTTTGCAACCCAGTGCTCAACTGCTGCGCCACGGGGGAGGCCCATGGGCTATATGATTTTGTAGGGGGAGCAGGTGATGGAGTGTGTTATCCTTCTGACTGTAGTGATTTGTTTGGGGTTCAGGTATGTGACCTAAGTTGGTTCAATGAGGCTCAAAATCCAAGGCTCTCAGACCTCCCTGGTGGCACAAGGGGTTAAGCACAGCACTGTGAAGCTATCTGAAGCCACTGCAGCACAAGTTCTCGGGCCAGCCAGGGAGCTAATCACATGGCACAGCAGACCTCTTCTGTCTCACCCTCTGCTCCCCTCAGCAGTGTATTTCATCTGCCTGTTGTGCTCCCCACTCTGTCTCTGGTGAATCCTCTCACCTGCCCCCACCCCCATACCTCTGGCCTGTACCCCAGTTCTTGTATGCATAAATAAATAAATCTTTAAAAAAAATCCAAGGCTCTCTTGGGACCCTTGGGAGAGATAGGCTTTCTTTTTGGTGTGGCTGAGCTAGAAGGGTGGTGAAGCTTCAGAAGCCCACGGCACATGGAGGCCCAGGAATACACAGAAGACAAGAGCTGAGAAATGGAGAAAAAGACAGCAGGAGAGACCAAGTATCAATAACATTTTTTTGAGCCCTTGGGCCTAGTCAGGCCTGAAATAAGGACTTCCATGCTCTGGGCTTTCCAGTTAAGTGAGCCAATAAATTCTCCCTTTTCCTGATCCCAGTATGACTTGGTTCTCTGTATTCACAACCAAGAGGGTGCTGACTAGTAAAGTGTTGATGGAGATCCTGGGGTGGGGAGCAGGTAGAGAAGGACCAAGCTGACTCTCCACTGGGCTCACCCTGAAGGCAACGAGGTACCCGTGAATAACTAGAAACTACAGTTCCATGTAGTATGAATCCCACAGACACCACGAGCCAATATGCAGCCAAGACCCCAGAACCACTCCAGGTTAGAACTCACCTGCTTACAGCTGATAAGAAGATGCCAATGGATCTCAGGAGCTTATTTAAACACGAGGGAGTCATGTAACTGCACAATAAATTAAGGAGCAAACTTCAGGATAGTTTTCTATACAGAAACCAGATCCTTAGCTTCCTCCCTGACACTACCTGTGGCCCAGAATGAACAGCAGCTGAATTGTGCTCTGACCTGAGAGGTCAGATTGAAGGGGGAGTGACTGCACTCCTGGGTAGGGAAGATGGGGGGATGTGGGTTCATGGTTCAGGAAGCGCTTCTGGAGTGGTTCAGCCACCTTGGCTCTGACAGGTGCTCCCGAGAGAGGAGGCTCTGATGAATAAAAGATGCATAGAAAAACCTGGGGGTCAATTTTCTAAGTCTCTCTCTGCCATGACCATTGCACCCTGGGGTCTCAGCACAGTTCATTACTTTGTTCCTCATTCTTAGACTTCTCTAAATATAATCAGCTTCATCATTAATTCTCAATCTTGTGCTTGCTCAAAGCTTTACACTGGAGGTCACTATCTTTATGAAGAATTGCATGTCTTCCTAATAAGTACAACAGGAGATGGTGGAAAAATTAAAGTCTGATTTAAAACAACCTCAGTATTTAATGTTATTTTTTAATGTGAGGCTTTACAAAAAGCTTCGTTGTAATAAAGCACCCAGAGCACGCATCAGCTTAGATACAAGGTATGAAATCAAGCCACAACAGAAAAGAAACCAGTCAACAATTACTAGGCTCATAACACATCGCAGGCTCTTAGAACACTTAAGAAATTAGCTGAAATTATTGCAGCTCATGGAGGATGACTGAGAGCTTCCAAGACTGATAAAGGCTAATGTAATGGGTTGGAGGTAATGGTGCTTTGTTGGGGGCGGGGGTGTGGGGCGGATATGTGAGGCAAATTATCTCTGCTGCACCCTGGTTCCCAGGATGCCAATAGAAGTAGAGACAGATTGGCTCATTAGGAAAGGCTCTTTACTGCAAAACCAGTGTTTGCTCTGGAGCTAGGCTCCCTGCCTGTTGCCACTGTAGCTGGGGGCTAAGTTATCAGCCCTCATGGTGGTGTTTCTACTGCTGCATTGTCCTCTACCCTGCTCGCCTCGAACCCCAGCACAATTTCTGCTCAGTGCATCCTCCCTCATTTCATCCATTACCAGCTAGCGGACCAACTTTCATCACCTTCCTTTTCCTCTGTTTCAGGCTAGTCTTATTTTTATAGATATTCACTGTACATATTTCTGGTCCATTATTTCCAGCAATTAGTTGCAGAAGTTTGCTGCAATATCAGCAGTAGCTAACAAGTGCTAAGCATGTACTGTATGCCAGGCACTGTGCTAACTGCATTGCTTGCATTGTCTCATTTAACCCTCACCACATTCTGCAGTATGTGCTATTAGTGTTTCCATTTACTTCATAAGGGAATAATCTCAGGTTAATGACTTGTCAAAGGCTTCAAAGTGAACTAAAAGAACTGTGATCTGAACCTAGGCAGTCTGACTCAGGGTCTGAGTTCTTATTGTCAGGCCTTCTGGCCTGTAGACAGATGAAGGGAGAGGGGTATTCATGCAGATTATCTCCTTGGATGGTATGGGAGGTGGAACTGTGGGTCTGCATTGTCCACAGGGCGTGGGGGGTAAGGGGACAGTGAGATCATTCAGGGAGACTCTGACAGTGAGCACAGCACAGGAGGGGATGCAGACATTTAAGGGATTGCTAAACAACAGAAGGATAGAAAAGAAACAGAAGGAAACAACAGAAGGGAAGAAAGGAGAAAGGCAAGAGAAGTAGTAGCCCAGAAACCAAGGGAAGAATGTTTTGAGAGCTGGGAACGATTGATTGATAAATGCCACTGAGAGGTCGTGTATAAGGACTGGGGACTTAGTCGCTGAGTTTTGCAATTAGAAAACCACTGTTAGCCTGGCAAGACCTGTGTCAGTGGAGTGGGGAGCATGGAAGTCAGACTCCAGGGAGTGGGGGAGAAAAGGGAGGCAAGGGAATGGAGACAGGAAGGCCAAAAACCTTGCCAAGAATCTCCACCATGAAGGGCAGGAGATGGGTGGAATATAGGCTTGAGACAAGAATTTTTATTTTTGAGGGAGAAAATACTTGATAAATGCTGATGAAACAAACTGATCACGAGACAAGAGTGAAAGCCATAGAAGAGAGAATAAAATCCCTAAGGAGATGGTAGGGGATTTAAATGCATAAAGGATTAGCCCTAGACATGGGAGCAAAAGGGGTGGGCTGAGAATGAGGACCTATTTATAGATTGGAAAGACAGGAAGTTGAGGGGACTCTTGCCTTTGGGATAATATTTTGTTCACCAGAGGTCCTATCCTAAAATTTTAGAGAGAATCAAGAGAAGTATTCCCTCAATAATCTCCTCTCCTTTTCTCCTTTGAAGAGTACCTTCAACTTTTAAATTTTCTTCTGTTCAGCAAAGGATACGTGAGTCTGAGCCAGGTGGTCAAGCGTACCAGGAACAAGCTGGCTCCCTGAGAAAACTCCTGCTCCAGTTCTGGGGCAGTCTTGCCTTGATTGGTTTCAATGAACTTGTTGAGGATGTGACTCCTTGCCACTTTGCCAGCATTGTCCCAGTCCTGTAAAAAACTCAAGAGCCGGCTAATTGCTGCCTGCTCCTTTATAGAAGTCATGATCAGTCAGTCCTGAAGTTGGCTACAGAAGGAGGGAAAATAGACAAGTTACCAGGCCACTTAGATCCACGCAAGTCCTGTGGGTTACTCAATGGTCTTTACTTTTCCAGCAACCAACCATCACCCACATGGTTTAGTGGCATTCAAAATACACCTCTGGGACTGGTCACCTGCTACGCAAATAGGAACGATTTAGCTGTGTTGTGACAAAATTAAGACTATCGAGGTAGGCGACTATTTAGAAACTAAAACTCTAGCTCTATTTTTTATGCTAACTCCACGAAGGAAAAGAACCAAAGGCTCTAGCTGAGATATGGTACTTGCTAAAAACATGGGTCTCTGGCACCCCTCACCTCACACGGGGTCAGAGGTTTGGGGCTGCTGGGGACCCAGCCTCCTCTGGCCTATCAGCTAAGGTAAAATACTCCTTGACCTTGTACACTGGGCTTTTATACTAACTCTCTTAAAAACAACTTTAAAAAAAAAGTTAGTAGGAAGAAAAAGTTCCCATTCCAAAGTTGGATTAATGGGCTGTGGTTTGTAGGAGTCTGTGTCCTTGCGAGAGTGTTTTCTGGGGCGGGGGGGAGGGAAGATTTAAAATAAACCCGTTTTCCAAAAATAGTTGTGATTGAAAGTGTTATTATCCATAACAAATGTTAGTGCTGATGGGAGAGCGGCATGTGTGATTCTTTTGTCTAACAGACAAGTGAAAGTCATATTTCACATTATCACGGGGTTTTCTGTGATTTACAGAATATTTGTGAAACATTACTTGCAGGGGCCATGATTGATATGGAGAGAACAGCTTGTGTGTAGGGGAGATGTGTATTTCACCAAGACTGTTCAACATGAAATTTACAGTCCCATAAAGTGCTTCTACATCTTCGCCAGAGATCTAGTTAAAAGGACTTTACAGTCTGAAACATCCTAAAATTGATTCTAAATTAACGTTTCCTCACATGTATTTGAGATATTGATGGGGCCCAGCTATCAGAATTTTATTAGGAAGCTATAATCTGAGGCATGAGGAGACGGACATACATACACACCAACCTCCACTGTTCCCCAGAGGACACTGGGTATGTGCTCCCAGGAAGGGCGTCCACGTAGCCTCGGGGATGGAGACAATTGTGAAATCCTGTCAGCCTTAACAACCAGGTGAATGAATGCTGTGGATCAACCTAAACACAAAAATGACCAAACCCCTTCATGGCATCAGCATCAATCACTGTGAATGACTTTATAGCCCTGAGCCTGAGACTAGCTTTCAGAGTTCCTCCCTCCCTCAATGGCCAGACTGGCCTCAGGAGAGCAGAGAGGAGTGGCTGTTTTAGGCCCCTGGGAGGCTATTCTAGGCTCCGGCAGGAAACCTCCCTGTGCTCCTGCCTTGCCCTGGATGGACCTTTGCTAGGATCAAAAGTCAAAGCGCCACCAGAGACACCCCCAGCAGTCCTAGGGCAGCAGGATAGGAGACTTTTAACTTTCAGCTGGATGATTCACATTGTGGCCTCTCAAGATTCCTGGGATCTCAGTCTCCCTGTTTTCTTATTTCTTTAACAGGAAAAGAAAACCAACAAATGGCAGGCCTGAGAACAGAGTGCTAAATCACTAAACTCATAGCAAAGGTCGGGTGTGGCACGTTGCCAGGTGCTCTGGCTCTTGCTGTAGAGTGGGAGGAAGAATGTGAAATTTGTTGTCAGACTGGGTTCAAGGCCCAGCTCCCCACTTGCTAGTCAGTAAAACATCAAAAAGAAATAGTACTGGGCCTCCCCAGTGGCGCAGCGGTTGAGCGCTTGGGTTGTGAAGCTGCCCGCGGCCTCTGAGGCGCCGGTTCGATCCCCGGCTGCTCCCCGGCCACCAGAGGAGGGTCCCACATGGCGCGCAGACCTCTCCTGCCGCCCGCTGCTCCCCTCAGCAGTGTACTTCGGTCCTTCTGCCTGCTCTGCTCCCCGCTCTGGCTCTGGTGAATTCTCTCACCCTCCTGTGCTTCTGACTGTACCCAGTGCATGTATAAACAAAACAAACAAACAAATAAATAAAACATGCCTCTATTAAAAAAAAAAAAATAGAAAAAAAAATTTAAAAAAAAAAAAAAAAAAAAAAAAAAAGAAATAGTACTGGCCTTGTCCCTTCAAGGTCAGCGTCACTCCAAAGACAGCCACTTTCAAGTCTTATGGTTGTTTCTTTTGGGGTTCACCTCCCTATTTCCGATTAAGGAGCTTATATGGCTTCTATGGGCTTTCCAACTTAGAAAACTAAACAATTGAAACAAAGAAACAGTTATTAACTCCAGGTAAAACCAACTTATAACCATCCCCTGGACCTCATAATGGGACTGTTTTGGAGGCTAGGTGCTTAAGGAGATAATTAAGTTAAAAGGAAATAATTAGGGTGGGGACTAACTCAATATAACTGGTATCTTTATAAGAAACGAGAGCATAGACACACGCAGAGGAAAGGCCACATGAAGACACCAGAAGGCGGCCATCTACAGACCCAGGAGAGAGGCCTGAGAAACCGGTGCTGTGACCCTTTATCTTGGACACCTTGGTGACAGCCTCCAAACTGAGTTGACAAGTCTCTGTTGATTATGCTACCAGTCTGTGCTTCTTTGTTACGGCAGCCCTCACAGACGACTAGGTTACTATGACTTGATTACCAGTTTTAGACAATATTTATTTCTTATTTTGGCAGTTGAGGAATTAGCTCCTTTGCGCCACTCTAACCCCCAATTTTTCTCTCTCCTTATCCAGACAATGTAGTTTTCTACAACTTATAGTTAAATCAATGGTGTTTATACATTATTGACCCAGTAAATAATTGTTCACTCAAGCTACAAACTATTATATTTTCTACCTCTTATAAGTTGATTTTACCTGGAGTTAATAACTGTTTCTTTGTTTCAATTGTTCAGTTTTCTAAGTATTTGGAAAGCCAATTGCTCCCATATGTTCTAAACACAAAGTAACGATTTTTTCCAAATGTTCAGCCCATATCTTTCCCTGTAGGCTCTGTCTCACAGATCTGTCTCTTTTGCTGAAGTTTGGACTGTTTGCTTGCTGGCCTGGCTCACAAAGAGCAATCATCCTGGGTTTCCTTTTGCCAGTCTTCTCTGTCTGCTGTCCTATATCCTGCACCCACCTCTTGTGGTTTTACTGAAGTATATTCTGAAGTACATTCTAGTTTTCCTGAAGTATATTCTCTGGTAGTTTTCTAGGGAATAAAAATTAACTTGTGTGTCTTTCATAGTCTGAAAATATTTTCACCTGTTAGATTGGTGGGTGTGTAAATTCACATTAGGAATAAGCTTCCCTCTGCTTTGAGTCTCCTGAGTGTTGCTGTGACAAGCCTGACGTCATTCTGATTCCTGCGCCTTTTGTCTGTGACTTTTCATTCTTGATGTTTTTTAAAAACTTTCCTGAAATTGTACAATGGCATGCCTTGGTGCAAGTATTCTACATTTATCATAGAGGCCCTTGGTGGGCTGTCTCCTTCAGTTTTTGGAAATTTGTCAGACAATGACTTTTCATTGAGGTCCTTATAAAAATATCAGTCAGTGGGTGTCTTTTTTTCCTTTCTTTTTCTTTCTGGGATCCTCAAGGCCTATGGAGAAGACTTTTCCACTTTCCCAGGGAGGGGGAGAAGACAGGGTCGTGAATACCTGGCTGTGGGCATCTTGGGAGGCAGCGGGAGAGGCCGGGCTGCACATTGCACCATGCACAGCTTCCCTTTATCACTCAAGTGTCTCACCTCTGCCCTTCAACCACGCCTGAGGTCCTGAGTGTGGAGGTCTTCAGAGTTCAATTCCTTTCTCCTTTTGCAGCAAAGGAGTTGAGAGTAGTTGTTTGACTATTAAGAGCAGAGCTTTGGGGTGAAGGCAAAGGGCTCCCCATACAGAATTTAGCTAACCCTTGTGCTCAGCCCCACACCCCTCATTTCTGACCTCTGTACTAACTCATGCTGCCAGGAGTAGGTCTCTTGGAGGTTAAACCAGGTGAATTAATTTGCTTCTTGGCAATGTCTCCTTGTTGAGCTTCCTTGGAGATGCAAGTAGGTAATATTTCCCACCCCTGCCATCTACCCTCCAAATATTTGTTCAGCTTTCATCTGCTTTTGCCTCCTCCTCTGGACTTTTGTGACTTCATACTTTTTCATATTTCCTCATTTTTAATTTTTCTTTAGTGTTATATCAGTGAGATTTTGTGAGGTGGGGGGGATAAATGGCAGGTGTCATGTCTAATAAAGTTTTCCAGTCATATGTTTTTTATCTTGGCTTTTCTTCAAAATAAGATTTGATGAGGATTGCAAAAAATAAACAAACAAACAGAAGATCCATTAAAGGCAATTTTAAAAAAGAATTAAAAATAGAGGTAAAAGGAAGGGGTTTCCTGGTGGTACAAGGGGTTGAGTACCGCACTATGAAGCAATCCGTGGCTTCTGCAGCACGAGTTTGATCACATGGTGCGTCAGACCTCTCCTGGCTCGCCCACTGCTCCCCTCAGTAAGGACTTTTTCCAAAAATTAAAGTGGATCTGCCTGTTCTGTTCCCCACTCTGTCTCTGGTGAGTCCTCTCACCCCCGCATCTCTGGCCTGTGCCCCAGCTCTTGTGTGCATAAATAGATAAATCTTTGAAGAAAAAGAAAATGAAAAAAAATAGAGGTAAAAGGAGAGAAATGTGTGTTTTAAGAGTCAATTGCTGGGATAGATTCTGTATCTAAGCTTTATCTTGACTATGAAAGTAAAAGGGAGGGCCTCCCTGGTGGCGCAACGGGTTAAGATGCAGCACTATGAAGCTATCTGCAGCCAACTGCAGCATGAGTTAGATCCCTGGCCAGGGAGGTGACCAACATGGTGCAGCAGACCTCTCCTGACTCACCCGCTGCTCGCCTGTTCTGCTCCCCACCCTGTCTCTGGTGAATCCTCTCACCTACCGCATCTCTGGCCTGTACCCCAGCTCTTATGTGCATCAACAAATAAATCTTTTTTTTTTTTTTTTAAGATTTATTTATTTATTTATTCATACAAGCACTGGGTACAGTCAGAAGCGCAGGAGGGTGAGAGAACTCACCAGAGCCAGAGCGGGGAGCAGAGCAGGCAGAAGGACCGAAGTACACTGCTGAGGGGAGCAGCGGGCGGCAGGAGAGGTCTGCGCGCCATGTGGGACCCTCCTCCGGTGGCCGGGGAGCAGCCAGGGATCGAACCGGCGCCGCAGAGGCCGCGGGCAGCTTCGCAACCAACGCTCAACAGCTGCGCCACCGGGGAGGCCCATAAACAAATAAATCTTAAAAAAATTAAAGTAGAAGGGAAAATGATGTGTCTTTCCTGGTAAAGGGCAGAGAGGAGTGATGATAGGAAGCAGAAACTAACATCTCTTGAGTATATATTAACAGTCACGTTTTATACATATTATATACATATATTTTTTCAGTCCTCTTAAGATCGCATGGAAGTAATTATTGCTATCCACAATTTTCAGAATGAAAAGCTAAGGTTTGTGCCTTTATTGCGGTCTTACAACTACAAAGGCATGGAAATGGAAGTCAAACACAGATTTGTATATAATTCCAGGCTTCTCCCATTGAACTGAAAGTTACTGAGTGTTCTCCAGTGCTCCAAAATGTCACCAGTAACCTTTGGTTGTCAAACTCAGTGGTGAGTTTACATCTGACTTGACCACTGGTGGAGTGGGGATCACTTTCTTCTCCAAACTCCTTTCCTGACCCCATTCTCTCCTGGTTCTACCTATCCCTTGGCTCTGCATTTTCCTCAGGCTCCTTTGAACATTCTTTTCAAATGTTCTCATGCTTTGTAATCTCCTGGGTGACTTTATTGACTCCCATCACTTCAAATTACATCTGTAGGTTTTGTGACCTTCAAAACCATATTCTCTGCCCGGACCTCCCTCCTGAGGTCTGGATCTCTGCAGATAAATGACCAGTGAAGGTTCACTGAGCGTTTCACAGGCCCTTCAAGTCAGGAAGTCCCAAAAGGAAGTCATCGCCCTCTCACCTGCTCCTTCTCCTGCGCTTGTCCTATTTCAGTGACTGGGTTATCACTCTCCTGCTTACCCGAGAGCTGTCTTAAAACATACTTTTTACCTTGTCCTCCTTCCCTCAACTGTCGCTAAGTTCTGCCAGTTATATCTCCTAAGTCTCCCTTAGGTCAGTCTATCTGCATCTTCACTGCCGCTACTTCAGTTCACACATCCCCATACTCACATCCTGCACCAGCCTCTTTACTGACCTTCATGCTTATCCCATATCCCAACCTCCACTGTGATGTGAGATAAAAAAAAAAAAAAAAGCAAATCTGATAATTTCAGTGCTTAAAACTCTCCAGTTGTTCCCCTTTACCCTCAGGATAAAGTTTCAAACATCTTAGGGCCTCCCCTGGTGGCGCAGCGGTTGAGCGCTGGGCTGCAAAGCTGCCTGCGGCCTCTGTGGCGCCAGTTCGATTCCCGGCTGCCAGCGAGGGTCCCACATGGCGCGCAGACCTCTCCTGCCATGCCCGCTGCTCCCCTCAGCAGTGTATTTCATCACTCTGCCTGTTCTGCTCCCCACTCTGGCTCTGGTGAGTTCTCTCACCCTCCCGTGCTTCCGACTGTACCCCAGTGCTTGTATAAATAAATAAATAAATAAATAAACAAATAAATAATAAATCTTTAAAAAAAAAAAAAGTTTCAAACATCTTAGCCCAAAGATTTTTTTGTCTAAATTTTGCCACAAGTGAAATCTGATGCCCCCACGACCCACCATGCATGCCCATGTCACAGCTGCCAATGGGGATTAAAAGGAGGCTGCAGCCAGCTTTCCCACACTTTGCACACCTTTCTCCGAATTCCCTGTACTCTTTTGGGATCACTTCTTTTCCTCTGAGGTGAGGCCTCCTGTCTGTCCCACTTGGTGCTGATTTGTGGGTCACTCCCTCATGCTGACTGGTGCCTTCAGCACATGAGTCTTCCTGTTTATTCAAGACCTGCTAATCAATTTCAACCTCAACATGCTCCATCTTCCTGTCTCAGGTTAGCAAGATCCCTGGCACTCAATAGGTGCTCGACAAGACATCAACACACTATGCAAATAATGAGCATCCTGATTTCCTTACTCCATAGAGTGATTAATCAACACATGTCCTGAGGAACGGCTGCCAGTCAAACACTGAAATTGTCCTACGTTTGAGTCTCCAATGGCTGCCACACTGTACACAGGTCCTCGGCAAGTTGCCTTGAACAGGGCTAGGAGACTTTATGCCCCAACTCCAACCCCACTACCAACAATTCAATTAAAGAGGAAATTCAACAAATAGTGAGAGACAACTGTGTCCTGTCCTATATTAGGCCCTGGGGGACAAATGTGAAAAAGACATAGTTTTTTCACCTCAAGAGGTATATAGTTTGGGGGAGGGGGTGGTAGAGAGCTCTGTAAACAAACATTTTGATTCTTATAGTGAAGTGGGTAAGCCCAGGATGCTCTGGGAACGTCAGCAAGGGAACCAAACTCAGTCTTGTAGTAACAGCCACCAACAGTGGCCATTATGGAATGCTTTCCAGAGGAGGTGCTACCTCCCGACTGTGACCTTAAACAAGTCACCCCCTCTGGGCTTCAGTTCTCGACCTGTGAAGAGGTGGTAGTATTACCTCCCAGGGTCAATAAACTATCCAATATACAGAAAACCTCTAGTAAAACTTAGCTCTCATTTCATTGTTGAGACTGTTCAAAATGTCTGAAGCACAGGGTGAGGATGGCAGTGGGGAGAGGTGAGGCTGGGAAAACAGGTAGTGGCCAGAGAATGATGGCCTCCTAGGCTCTGTGACAGGGTTTATACCCTGTCCTGAGGGCAACGGGAGGGCCTTAAGGGTCACGAGTAACAAGATTTTGTTTTAAAAATATCATTTCAACTGCAGTATAGAACGATGGTCTGCATGGACAGGTGGGGTGCCAGCTGGAGGCCATCTCCAGAATCTTGGCAAAAGATGCTGATGATGCTGGAGATGGAAAGAAGTAGAAATGCCACATAGGTAGAACTGGTGACTGACGGATTGTGGAGAATGAAATGGGGAGGTGGGGGGGGGGATCAAGGAGGATTTATCACAACCTTTCTTCCTACTTTGCAGTAAACACTGGGTCCATCAAGCGCAACCCCCTTGCTGCCCCTCCATTTCTTTCTTTTTTTTTTTCAAGATTTCAAGATTTATTTATTTATTTATACAAGCACTGGGTACAGTCAGAAACGCGGGAGGGTGAGAGAATTCACCAGAGCCAGAGTGGGGAGTAGAACAGACAGACTGACGAAATACACTGCTGAGGGGCGCAGCAGGAGGCAGGAGAGGTCTGCGTGCCATGTGGGACCCTCGTGCCAGCAGCCCAGTGCTCAACTGCTACGCCACCAGGGGAGGCCCTGCCCCTCCATTTCTGACGTTACCATCTCAGCACCCACGCTTTCTATGTGAGCCAGGTGCTGCCCCTCTATCTCAACCTTTCCATAACTCCTGACTCCTCTTAAACACTTGCTCAATCTTCACCAACCCTAATCAATATGCAAAGTCTTTGTCTGCCTTTCCCCTTCAACCTTCTTCACTTTCTTCTTCACCCCCAGATTTCTGTCTCTGGTCTACAGGATAAAGTCTAAGTTCCATGTGGCATCCAAGGACCTTCACAACTTGGCTCCAGGTTAAGTTCATCTGTAGCAATTTCTTTTTTCTTAAAAGATTTATTTTTTTTTTAATTTTATACAATAGCTGGGGTACAGGCCACAGGCATGGGAGGGTGAAAGGATTTACCAGAGTGGGGAGCAGAACAGGCAGACAGGCTGAAAGCACTGCTGAGGGGAGCAGTGGACACAACAGGAGAGGTCTGCTGCGCCATGTGGGTAGCTCCCTGGCTGGCCGGGAATTGAACCCACGCTGCAGAGGCTGCAGACAGCCTCGCAGCGTTGCACTCAACCCACCCCACCACCAGGGAGGCCCCTCATCTTAATCACTTCTACATTAAGATCCCTGGGCCTTCCCTCTGTATCTCAGAGCTGTCCGCCATTAGGGATGGCAGCCTCCTTTTTGCTCTTTGGCTAATTCCTCCAGTTGCTCTGTGATCCATACACACCGCTCCCCCTACCACTGTCACACTTACATCCTCTCACTAGAGTGTGAGTTCCTCAAGGGCAGGGGTGCGTCTTTCCTCTCTCTGTGTCCCCAGGGCCTAGCACGAAAATAGATGTTTAATAAATGCTCGCTGGGTGAATGAGTGAAGAGATCAGCCCCCTCCTGTTTAGATTGTTATATCTGAATGTGCATGATATGTAGGTCCGTAAAACCACCAACTTTCCAAAGCTGCCATGTGCAGAGGGGCAGAATCTCCATCCAAGAAGGCCAGAGCAAGGTCTATGAGGCATTTTACAGCCATGACAGGAAATAGCAATGTCAGCAGTGGTGTCATCTTTGGACACGAAGGACAGGGATTCAGTGCCATGAACGGTCAGTTAAGCTGTAATTGGAGTGAACTGTTCCTCTGCAAACCATAATGTTCTTTAGCTGCAGCCAAATGGCATTCAAGAAGGGGAGAAAATTTTTTGAAATGTCAAAGAAATTATTTCCAATTTGGTGCTCACAACTAGAGACTCTAATGATGAGTGGAAATGAGAAGCAAACAAATTAGCACTAATGGAAAATCGCTTTTGGAAAAGAGGATTTAATTTATAGTCAACTGGTCATGGCATGCAGTAGGCAGTAAAAGCCAGTTTCACCAGCTTGATCATAAGGACTGGCGCACACATGGAATGCCAGAGGAAAATACATGTAGGCCATCATGCTTACCAGAGTCTCTCTGTAAGTGGCAGCCAATTAAAATAGTCATTATTTTACCTTGGAGAGAAAATGGCCTGAAAAATCAAAGCACATGAAATTAAAATCCAGATTAGGAACCTCAGTCCAAATTGGTTTGTTTGTGGCCTTCTAACCTTGGCAAGGTCCTCTGCAAGGACAACAAACTGACTTTGTCTTCAGCCCAGAGTGACCTCTCTGTTTTTAATTTCCTCTCCATCTTCAAAGGTGATTGATTAATAAATCTGGACTCAACCATAAATCTCTTCTATAGCAGCCAAATGGTTCTTTTTCATGCAGGGAAACTAAATTTCAAAAACCCTAGATCTCATTCTAAACCAAAGGTCCTTAGTAACAAGTGAGAAGAAGTATTAAAAATCAAGGTCACAAGGTCTTATTTTTCAATAAAATTTCTCAGAGCCTTTTCCCCTCTAAATCAAAAGACACATTTCTAAAAACAAGAAGCCTCCACGGTATGCGCTTGGCTCACTGTCCCCAGATGGTCCCAGAGACAAGGCCATCACTGTCTCCTGCTCCTGCAGTTCCCACCTGCAGAATGGGGCAGATGGGACTGAGGCTTTCTCCTGAGTTCCCATCTGACTCCTTATTCTCAACTCCATTCAGAGACAGAGACACAGAGAATGAGGAAGAGGAGGGAGAAACATTTCCCTTCCAAACTCCAGATCCAGACAAAGAGGCTGCCCTTGCCTGTATTTCTACCTAAGGTCATTGCACTACCATGTGTCACTTCCTTCTCACAGACTCCCTTCCTTTTGCCCCTCATTCATAACCTCTTCATAGACCCCTCCTGCCACCCATCAGCTCCCTAAGGATTCCATGTGCTGGGCCTCCCTGGTGGCGCAAGGGGTTAAGTCTCAAAGTGTATACTGCCTCAGTCTTCTTGCTCCCATTCTCCACAGCAGCTATTTCAATCTTTCTCTGCTCTTCTCAAACCTTGCATACTATCTCTAATCCCACTGGCTGATATCAAGTCTCTACTGCACAGAGAAAACAGAAACCAGCAAATAAGAATTCCCTCAACTTCTGCCACCAAATCTACTAACACACTAATCTTACTTGCTTCCTCTGTGTCGTAGTACAATTATTCTTCCACCTTTCGAAGCCAATTTCTCCATCAATGCTTTGGATCCCCCACCTTATTCCTTTTTTTTTTCTTTAAAGATTTATTTATTTATGCACACAAGAGCTGGGGTGCAGGCTAGAGGTGCAGGGTAGGGGTTGGTGATGAGAGGATTCACTAGAGACAGAGCAGGGAGCAGAACAGACTGACCAAAAAACACTGCTGAGGGGAGCAGCAGGTGAGACAGGAGAATGTGGGCATCTTCCCGGCCAGCCGGAATTGAACCCGCACCGCAGAGGCTGCGGACAGCTTTACAGCGCTGCGCTCAACCTGCTGCGCCACCAGGGAGGCCCCCCAAACTTATTCTTTTTTCAGGGACACCATTCTCTTAGTCATCTCCTTTTCTCTCTAAGTTTATTTTCCCCCTCTTTGCTTGGATGTATGTCAACAGCATCTGTCCCATCTGCATAAAAACCTTTGTTTGGGGTCTCCTTCCAGTGATTGCCTTTTATCTTTTTTCTCCTATAGAGCCAAACTTCTTGAAAGTATAATGTACTTGCAGTCTTCACTTCCTACCCACTCCTTAACTCATTGTAATTTGACCTCTGCTCTATCACTCCATAAACTCCTTTTGCAAGTCACCACCAATTTCCTTGTTACTAAAACCTGTGGATTTTTAGAGACCTTAATTTAATTGATTAGTCATCAGCCTTCACATTTACCTCCTTGAAACACCATATTCTACTTCTGATAATCTTCTTACCACCACTCTGGGCCCTTCATCTCAATGACATTTGCAGGTTCATGCCCCTTTGCCAGACCTTCAGACTTGAGTTCTTCTTAGGGCTATATCTTAGGCTCCCCACTCCTGCTCTACACACACCTTCTGGGAAAGCCTAGCAAACCAACACAACACCAACAAATGGTTTGGCTTCTACCCATAAGTACTGCAGACTACATTTCTGTTCCCAACTTAGACTTATCTTGCAAACCCCATTCAGGCATATTCAACTCCCTCCTGGACACCTCCATGTGCATGCCCTACTCAAACTCCTCATGCCCAGAAATGACCATCTTCTAAAAACCCTGATTCCCCTTCTTTCTGTTTGCTCAAGTCAGGGATTTAGAAGTCATTTCTCTTACTTGCCCCACCAGGCACCAAGACCAGTTCTTTTTAGCTTATAAATGTTTGTGGAATTCATCACCTTCTCTTCTTTCTCCTACTTCTTCATAATTTAGACCACCCCAATCCTTCCCCAACTGGTCTCCCTCCTTCTAATCCCTAATCCACTCTCTTCATTAATCTTTCCAAAACACAAATCTGATTTTTATTCCTTTGCTCCTAGCCCTGCAATGATGCCCCATTGTCCTCAGGATAAGCTCTAAGCTCTTGCACTCATGGTTGTAATATGCATTGGAAGGTTCTTCTCTTTCTTTCTTTCTTTCTCTCTCTCTCTCTTCTCTCTCCTCTCTCTCTCTTTCTTTCTTTCATCATCAGTAAGATCCGCCTATAAGCTCAAAACTGAGCTAGGCATCAAAGACTCTTGGGTCTAACTTTTCTTCCAAGGCTGCTGTCACATTAGTCTTGCCCTGGTCAGAAGGTGCTCATAATTCCTGGCAGCCACCTCTTACTTTCCACTCCATGAACTCCTCCAAGGAGTCCTTTTCCCTCCATACCTCCACAAATCTTTCAAAGCCCACCTGAAGATCCAGCCCCACTGCCATAAACACCACTTATCTCTGATTCTGAGCTCCTAAAATCCTCAAGGCCTACTCTTCTATAGTATTTATCCATTGCACAGAATGGAAGTTAGTTCATGTGTGATTCCTCCCCTTCTCCTTTTAAAATTAACCCTCACTAGTGCCCACCTATGTCACAGGTGCTCAGTAAATAACTGTTAAATGCGTGCATAGAAAACTATACCCCTACCCTCTTTGTGTCCCCCACGAGCAGGGCATTTTCTAGTCTTCCCTCGAAGACACCATTACCCCTGCAATAGCACCCACCTCACCAGCCAGAATATGCCTCGATCCTCCTGGGTGGAGGATGGGCTGGCACGCGCCCCTTAGGCCGTTTTATACAGTTTTCCACCTCCAGCTCTCGGAGCTGCAGCTGGTAGAGGTGGCTAGATGATGTAAATCAAGGGGCAGAGCCGTAGGATTAGACGCGGTTGAGAAGGAAGACCCTCCTCACTCCCAGAATACAGCAACTCTCCCGCAGACCCGCTTACCTACGCAGGAGGGCGGGGACTCTTCCTGACTGGCGTCCAAGCTGACCAATACCTGATTGGGAACAAGAAATCCAGCCAATGGCTGTGGGCCAGGGATAAGATGGGGCGGGACATGGTTGCTAAGGCCGATCTATTGGGGTGAGGCGAGAGGCTCCCTGAGAGACTCTGTGGTTGCTAAGGAGGGAGGTCACAGAGCGTGGCTCAGGGATTGGGCAGCGTCGAGGGAGGTGGGTGGTAATTGGGCGGCGCCCAGGAGGCGCCCGGCTGAGGTGCGGGCGCGCGAGCAGGAGTTCCGGCGGGAGGCCTGTGCTGGGGGCCCGCACCTTCACCATGGCCTCGGCTGAGCTGGACTACACCATCGAGATCCCGGATCAGCCCTGCCGGAGTCAGGGTATGGAACGAGGGTTGGGTCCAGTCGTGGGGGGTAACTTAACGAGTATGTGGGTGGAGAGCGCAGTCGCGGCCCCGCCCCTCGGCGGGCCCGCCCCTCGCGCCCCGCCCCCTGGTAGGGTCTCGCCGGCCCGGGACAGAGCCCCGCCCCATGAAGCCCCGCCCCTCGTAAGCCCCGCCCCAGAGCGCTCGCCCTGCGGGAGACCTGCTCCTTCCCCGCTTCCTCTGTAGGGTTGGGGCCACGCCCGCCGTCATCTGGTGGTTGCTGAAGGCTCCCGAGGGCAGGGTTCCTGCTGATTGCTTTGTTTGGGGTCTGGCCGCCCACTTCCAGCCTCTCTTCGCCGGTTGTGTGGCTAGGTATGGCTGGGGTCCTGGTATTATTTTCTACCCACTCTTTCCCCCGTGGTCCTCGCAGAAGCCGGGGGCTCAAAACCCCTGTGCCTCCTACTCTCACTGGCGGTGTAATAGAGCAGTCTCGCGTCAGGTGGAACTCGTTTCAAATTCTGACTCCTCCCTTTAGTAGCTTTGGCAAGCCACCAGCTCTGGACTTCATTTTCCTCGTCTGCATAATGGGGGTACTAATAGTAATCACCCTGTAAGGGTTGTTGGCGGCTCAGCTGAGATTATTTGTGTTAAGCCCTCCCATAGTGCCTGGCATGGAATGAGTTTAGATTTGCATTATTTTCCTCCCCCCAGTCAATCTCATTAAAGAAAGGTGTGTGGGAGGCTCTGCCAAATTAGTAGCCTTAGAGCAGACCTGGGTGTGAGTGGTTTTGGGGGCCCAGAGAATGGAAAGTTTGGTGCCTGTTGGGAATTATGGCAGAGGAACCTTGGAAGTAGGTACACTACACTACGGCATGGGCCCAGCCTGTCTCTTGCTTGACTTCACACTGCCTTTAGGCCTACAGTCTCACTGCCAGCTGCGCAATGTTCTTCCTAATGCAAAAGTTTTGATCTTATCACTGCTTTGCATAAAACCCTTCAGTGGTTCCTCTTTGCTCTCAGGATAAATCAAGTTTAGATTCCTGAGCATGGCATTCAAAGGCCTTCATAATTTAGCAGCCGCTGCTTCCCTCTTTGATCACTATGACCTTCCACTGTCCAATTTGAACTTTATGCTCTGACAATCCCAAATGGTTTTTGATTCTCCATACATTTCTTGCTTCTCTGCTTTTGCCTCTGTCTGGAATGCCTTTCTCTCTGTTGCCCCACACTGCTCCTTCATTTGTCTGGCTCCTTCACTTGAAAGACTTTTAGCTCAGATGTTGCCTTCTTCAGGAGAGCCTGCCCAGGTCCTTCCCACAGCATCTTGTGTGCCTTGGTTGGGGTCTAGGAGGGGAGGGCAGCCCCTAGGCTCCCACAGAGCAGATGGCTCTAGATCAGCATATTTCCCTACAGTTGGATCTGTTAGCTTAGGGCTTTTGGGCTTATAGATATAAAAATATTTTTGAAAAGTTTTTGGCATTAGTGGGAGATGAAGCCAGTTGATATTATTGCCCTTGGAGAGCCTTCAGCTACAAATGGCTGGCAGCCTTCTGCATGGCCAGGAGGCAGATGTGCTCTCTCAGCCCAGGTGGGCAGCCTGGTAGTCTTAGTTCACATTTTTAGCTCTGCCTTTTACTAGTTCAATGGCTGTGGCAAATTATTGAAACTCCCTGAACCTCAGGTTCCTCCACTGTAAATTGAGACTAATAATAGTGCCCACCTTACAGGATTGTGAGGGTTGACAAGATAGTGACTGGAAGTGTGTGTGTAGCATGGAGCAGGGGCTCTGTCTGCTTGAGGTCCCCCTTCACTTCTTTGGGAGGCCTGATCCAAGTATTGGGAGAAATCCCAGGAGGCCATTTTGTCCATTCTATGGCTGCCAAACCCTTCCCGGACAGGATGCTTCCCAAACATCCTGGCCTGGTGGAGGCAATTGGAAGCTCTTCCAGTTGTTAGAAACTGCTTCCTTTTCTTGAGCCACAATATACCTTCCTGTCATTGCTGCTTTCAATTCAGCAATCGCTGCATCCTGGCTGTGGGTTACTTGATGGTGCCGGTGACTCACGCACAGGCTTCCTTCAGGGAGCTGTGGATTGGGGAGGAGGTGTGAGGGTTTCTAGGCAGGTGGTTTCACTATGATGTGGTAACTGCAGGGCTAGAGGGTCATGGTAGGTGCAACACAGAGCAAGGTAATTTCTCTTCCCTGCTCTTCAGGAGGAAAGCTTCCTGCCTCCCTCAAATCTGTCTTCTCCAAGGGAAAAACTTCCAGGACCTTCAGCTGTTCCTTCTCTGAGGTGGTTCTAATAACCTCCTCCTCCTCCTGATTGCTCCTTCAGACCAACTTGAGGTCACCATGCCTTTCCCTCTCAAAGTGTGTACCCCAGAGGTGAGCTGGAGGTTGCAGGACCCCTTAGAAGTTGTAGTGGCACTGTGAGCCCCCGAATCCATTTGCTTCTTATTGGCAGAGAGCTCCTCTCCAGGGTGACATGGTTTCCCACAGTGGCAGTCTTTGGGGGGTCCCAGAGATTATCTCTTTTGCAATAACTGTTCAATAGTGGACATGTCTGTAGGACAGTTATATTTGGTTTCTGGAAATGCTTTCCCCCATATTTGAACTTCAAAACCACAAAGCCCAGCACTGTGTGAGTTGACAGAGAAAGGAGAAGCAGCTGCTGGTACATCAGTTAGTTAGGAGGCAGCTGCAGATCTGGGGTCATTTAGGAACCAAGCAGGGCAGCTCAGAATCCTTCTGCTGGGATTCCTACCAGCTGCTATCTGTGGCTACCTGGTCTTTGGCTGCCTGGTCTTTTGCTGAAGCCAGTCCGTTGACCTGGAATCTCCCCCATCCTATCCACTCTGCTTCTCTGACCAGTGACCCCCTCCACTTCTGATACTAGCGTCTAGCTCATCTCCTTGGGAAGATTCTGTTCTTAGGGCCTGCATAGCAGGGATCCCTTTCATTGTAGTGTTTTTCACATTTTGGCTCACTGTTGCCGGGGCATGGAGAGGATGAGGTGCCAAGTGTGTGGAATGGAGTATGGTCTGGGACCCAAGCCAGAGCCGCCCCTCCTCCCAGCCAGGGAATGGTCAGCTAAGTCCTGCCCCAGGGCCCCAGCTGGCCTTCTTAAAGGCACCATGCTGCTCTCGCGTTCAGGAAGCATTTCCAGAAATAATTGATACACAGAATTAATGGGGCTGAGACAAGGGGCTCACTCTTATACAATAAAGGCCTTCTGGGGGTTCACAGAGTTGGGGAGTGACAGGTTTATTGTGAGCCTGCTCTTCTGTTAAGCATTGGCAGGGTTCAAAGACATGTAGACTTGTCTAAACCCTCTGGAAGCTTTCTCTGGCACCCAGGAAACAGTCCGGAGTGGTGTGGGCCACCATGGTGGACCACAGGAGTTGGGGTGGCTTCCTGGAGAGGAGTGGTTGAAGCTGGGTCTAGGGTTCGGGAGGGCTGACCGGTAGCTGGGAGGGCAGCAGAAAGAGCAGAAAGGGCCTGGGAAGGAAGGAGCATGGCCGGAGGGGGCAGGAGGCTGTGGCTGCTTCCAGAGCAGGGAATGAGAGGAGAACCCCAAGAGAGGCCTCACCCTCAGGTGAAGAGTGAGTTGGGACTTGATTCTCTTCTCTCTATGGGAACCCCAAAGGTGCTTTTCTTTTTTTCTTAAACAGAGGTGTTTTTCTTCGTTTTAATCACAATCTCTTCTCTTTCACACATTAATAAAATCTCGGGCCTCCCTGGTGGCGCAAGAGGTTAAGATGCAATCTATGAAGCTGTCTGCAGCCTCTGCAGCATGAGTTCCATCCCCAGGCCAGGGAGCAACCCACATGGCGCGGCAGACCTCTCCTGACTCACCCGCTGCTCCCCTCAGCAGTGTATTTCAGTCATTCTGCCTGTTCTGCTCCCGACTCTGTCTCTAGTGAATCTTCTCACCCCCCCCCACACCTCTGGCCTATACCCCAGCTCTTGTATGCATAAGTAAATAAATCTTAAAAAAAATAAAATCCCTCGCTAATGTGTCTGATCTATACCGGGTGCTGCACTAGGTCCTGGATTTGAGGTTCAGATTTCATGGATGCTTTGTAACCTCCTTACTCTGAGGTTTCTGTTGCACTTATACAGTTCACCACATCCTATAACCCAGCCCCGCCAACCTGCAGCTCCTGTCACAACCACCCTGGCGAGTAGGGAGTACTCTTGTGCGGTTTTAGAGACAAGGGACAGCTTAGAGAGGGGAGGAGATGAATTATCTTGCCCAGGTTACCCCAGATTTCTTCTCAGGAGCCTTACTCCAAAACTTGTGCACACAGATTTCAGTTGCATTGGAAGCGCTGCCCAAGCGTGATTCCATTTCGAGGAAACAGTTAAGGAATGCACAAAGAAAGAGGTGTCCATTAACCTATTTTTATAACTGCAAAAAATTGGAAACAATATCATGTCCAGTAATGGGAGATTGGTCACCATAAATTATGAACTATTCTGTCGCTCTGCAGCCACTAAAAAGAATGGCGTAGAAATATATAAACTGACAGGCAGAGATGTTCACAGTATATTGCCAAATGGAAGAAAGCAGATTACAAAACAGTACAATTCCAGTTTTATTAGATATTCATTTTCTCCTTTTCTACAGCGAGCATGCATTCCTCGTGAAGTCGTAATAGTAACTTTGACTTATTGAACTTTCTACCAGGTACCTTGCTTGCTAAGCCCTCTGTAGTCATTATCTCATTTGATCCTTTGTGCTATTAGCCCCATTTCACAGATAAGGAAATTAAAGCATAGAAAACTTGCTCAAGGTTTATTTTATAGTTATTAGTGGGAGCCAAAGATTTGGACCAAATATGGTTTCATACGCTATGTACTTTTTTTATATAGTGTGTACTTCATGAGGATTAAGACATATCTTCTTTTAGATACTATGCTACCCTCCAGGGCAGTTATTTCAAAAAATAAAACAAACAGAAAAATAAATTTAAATTAATTTTCTTTAAATATAGGAACTGTGAAACTGCACAGAGTATTATTGGGGACTAGAGGAAATTGACGTTCCTTCTGCTCTTTGTATTTTAAAAGAAAACTCTAGGTTCTTTGTGTTTTGGTTCTGGCTTACAGATGAAAAGCATTTATTGTCCACAGACCCTTTTCAGCCTTTCCTTTGTCTTCCCCATGTGACCCTGGGATAGATGCAATCTGTGTTTTAGTTTTATGAGTCAAACAGTTGTACAATATATGTATCTGTAATTCTTGTATTATTGATGTCCATGTTGTTTTGTTGAGAAATTTCTAGAGAACAAGGGTCATGTGAGGTTATATTGTTTTGTGGGGTGCTTAAGAAGTGTCAGGGTGGAAAAGAATACTTCTGCCTTGCCAAGGGGCTTCTGGGCATACTTGACCTTCTTGACTTCTCAACTGATTTTGACTCTGCTGGACTTCCTTCTCCCCCCTTTCAAAATATCCTTTTAGCTCTCATTGCACAAGTGATACATATTGATTTTAGAAAATGGGTTAAGAAATCATGAAAAAGAAATTGCCTCTAATCCCAGGAATAATTGCTATTAATATTTGATGGTTTTTTTCTATGCATAAATATATGCATGTTTATATATGTACATACTGCTTCTCAGCTTGCTCTTTCACTTAATGTATTACTGTTCATTTTAAAACATAGTAGTGTGTCCTAGGTATTTACCCAAAGGACACAGAAACATCAATTCCAAAGAACACCTGCACCCCTATGTTTATAGCAGCACTGTTTACAATAGCTAAGCTTTGGAAACAACCCAAATGCCCAAAAATAGATGACTGGATCAAGAAGATGTGGTACATATACACCATGGAATACTACTCAGCATTCAAAAAAGATAAACACATGCAATTTGCAGCAACATGGATGGCGCTGGAAGGGATCATGCTCAGCGAAATAAGCCAAAAAGAAAAAGAAAAATACCGGATGGTCTCACTCATAGCAGGAATCTAGAAAACTTAAATAAGGGACCAGGAAATGAATAACTATAAGAAAGTGAAAATCAAAATCAACAAAAAACTATGAACCAGAGACACTTTTAGGGGGACGGGAGTGGGAGGGGAGGGATTGGGGTCAGAATGGGGGGGCTGCAATTGTATGGGGAATATAACAATAAAATTATTATTAAAAAAAAATAAAGCAGGATTTTTCAAAAAAAAAAACAACATAGTAGTGTGATTAAGATATAATACACATATCATAAAATTCACCTTTTTAAAATGTGCAATTCATTGGTTTTCAGTATATTCACAGAACTGTGCAACCATCATCTCTGTCTAACTCCAGAACATTTTCATCTTCCGCAAAAGAAATCTTGTACCATCAGTGATCACTCCCTGTCGCCCCCTCCATTCAGCTTCTGGCAGCCACTAACTACTTTCTGTCCTGTGGATTTGCCTAGTCTGTACATTTCATATAAATGGAGTTATACAAATTGTGGCCTTTTGGGGCTAGCTTCTTTCACTTTGCATGTTTTCAGAGTTCTTCCATGTTGTAACAAGTGTCAATTCTCTGTTGCTTTTTATGACTAAGTTTTGGTGTGCTGTCCTGTGGATACATAACACATTTTGTTTATCTACTTGCAAGTCTATAAGCATTTGGATTGGTTCTAATTTTTGCTATTGTGAGTGATGCTGCTGTGAATATTCGTGTACAGGTTTTGTGTGGATGTACGGTTTTACTTATCTTGGGTAGGCACTGAGTCCTGGAAGTGCTGGGTCATATGGGAACGCTCTGTTGAATTTTTCTGAGGACAGTTTTCCAAAATGGCTGTGCATTTTTACATTCTCACCAACAGTGTATATGGGCTCCGATTTTTCCACATCCTCCCCAACACTTGCTATTGCCTGCCGTGATTATAACCATTCTATAGCAGGTATGATGTGGTGCCTCATTGTGGTTTTGATATTCATCTCCCTAATGACTATGAACATCTTCACATGTGCTTTCTGGCCATTCACAGATCTTCTTTGGAGAAAGTTCAGATCCTGTAAATTGGATTGCCTTTTAATCATTAAGAGTTAAAAAATATATATCCTGGATACAAGCCCCTTATCAGATATATGATTTGCAAATATTTTCTCTTATTCTGTGCATTGTTTTTCACCTTTTTCATCATGTCCTTCGAATTTAAGTTTTTGGTTTTGATGAAGTCCCAATTTACCTATTTTTCCCCCCTTTCATTCCTTATACTTTTGGTCAACTCTGTGAAATCATTGCCTAATCCAAAGTCACAAAGATTTACTCTCTGTTTTTCTCTAAGAGTTTTTTCATTTTAGCTCTTACATTTATGTTTGTGTTTTGCTTCATGTATTATTGAATAGTTCCATATGAGGAAACACTTTTCTTTCTTAGAAGTGGAATCACTGAATTAAAGATTGCATATTTTGAGACTTGATACAGATTCCAAAACTCTATCTCTCTTCCCCCTCTCATTCCTCTCCCCCTTCCTGCCTGTCTCCCACTGCTCTGGCTCAGGCCTCTGCCACGCCTTGCCTTGCAGGTTACAGTAGCCTCCTACCCGTTCATAATGCTTTCAGTGCAGTGTGACAAATGTCGTTGCATTGTGGTTGTGGGTGCTATGACAGTATGGCAGAGGGGTATAGACCCAGCCTGGTGATTTGGGGTGGGAGGGTTGAGAAGGGTTTGGGAAGGGCAGGCATTAAGAGAGGGCTTCCTGAAGTGAACCATGAGCTGACTCAGGTGGAGTGGGCATAGCACAGCATAAGCACGGAGTCAGTATCCTAGGCCACAGAATAAGGAGCATGTGGAGGTTCTGGAGGTGGAGACTGGCATGGGAGCCCAGAGGTGAGTGCTGGAGCTGCTGCTTTCTGGTGTGTGTTCTTGAAAAAGGGACTTCCCTTCTGTTTCAGTTTTCTCATCTGTAAAATGGGGCTGATAACAGTAGCTAACTCCCAAGATGGTTGTGGGACCAAATAAGGCAGAATGTGTTGAGGTTCTGGCTGGGGTGCCAGTCTCTAAGGCGAACAGGATCTCTGAAGTGCGGAGGCAGCCGTGTGGACAGCTTGGAGATGGGCCAACAGATTTGGTTAAGAACGGGAGCTTGAGTTTTGCTACCTCGGGGGCCATCTGAGGTAGTGGTTACAAGCTGGTCCCTCAAGTCAGACCACTTGTGTTTGGGTTTCAGCTTCACTCCATATTAGTTGTGTAAGCTTGAGCAAATTATTTACTATCTCTGTGGCTTAGTTTTTATCTGTGAATTGAGAATAATAACTGTACCTTGTTCATAGGACTGCTGTGAGGATTAAATGAGTTGATATATAAAGAGCTTAGAGTAGAGCCTGACCATTGATTCTTTGCTGTGCTTATTTTGGTTTTCTTGGTGATGGGAAGGAAGAATGTGGAATTCAGAGAGGTGTGTGATGGTTCAGAACAAGGCGGATTTGCTTGCTTCGGTGGGGTGGTGCTGTCTTAGAGTGTAAGTGGCACACCGAACCAGTGAATCTTCAGGGCTGCGGGGCAGTGGCCAGAGGCCTGGAGATGTCAGCAGCCTAAGGAGGAGGGAGGGTTGACAGGGGATGGTGAAATGAGCATAAAAGGAACAGGGGCTTTTACAAGAGGGTGGAGGAATTGTGATCCGGATGTGGCAATAAATAACAATAGCCACAGCAATTACTTTTATTACTCTGGAAAGGGCAGTGGGGAACAAGAAGAATGCCAGCTCTTTTTTCTTGGGTCCATTCTTCACTTTGCAGCCATGTGTTCATTCATTCAGCATATTTCTACTGAGTGTCTGGATGGGGCCGACTGTGGTGCTGGGCACTGCGGATGTGGTGATAAACATGGCAGACCCAGTTCCTGCCTTCACAGAGCCTGCTGGCTAAGGGGAGAGACAGGCAGTCAGCAAATGATTGTGAAAATCATCAGTCAGCCCAGATTATACTGTGCCGTTCCCCAATTCCAGAATTTTATTCCTTCTCCACTGCTACAGAATAAAATGCTGACTCCTAACCGTGGAGGTGCTATGGGATCAGGCTCCACTTACACTCTTGGCAGCTCTCCTGATCACTGCTGCCCCTTCACCCAGGCTCCTCACTCCCCTGGATTGCTTGCTGTGGCTCAGGCAGACTGTCACTTCTCCATCGCCCCCTGCCCTGCACATGCCTTTACTCCCTGGCAGGCTGGTCACTGTCCCTCTCTGAGCCATGTTGCTGGAGCACCATGGACTTCTCTGGATTATAGCACTTCATGTATGAAATCAGAGAGGGCAGACTGGCTCCAGTGGGAGGAGGTCATGGCAGACTCTGAGTTAGAGGGGGCATGGAGCATAGGCCCTGGGAGGAGAAAGCGTCAGGGGGGTAGGAGATGCCTGTGGGAAGAAAGAGCACCTAGTGGCTTAGGGGGACGTCTTTGAGTGTCTAGCTGCACTGGCCTTGCCCCCAACCCCCAACACTTAGGAACACTGAAAAGCTTGGGCTCTGGGAGTTGGTGAAAGGTGCCCGTGAAACCTGAGGTGGAGTAAAATGGAGTTACTGATCCCAGTGGAGGAGGACGGTATGTCAGAGGCCAGAGCTTTCTGGATCCTCCTCTCCTGGGAATGCGCAGTTGGACTGCTGTTGGATGGTGCTGGCCTGTACTGTGGGTGGCTACCAGGGAGATGACCTCCCTTGGTTGCCTTCTCTGTATTTGTGATCAGGCCCAAAGCCCTGTCCTGGTGATAACGTGACGGAGGGGGACCCTCTAGGCTGTGGGAGAGGAATCTGTGTTCATACAGCTGCACAGACCCACTGGTGCAGGTACCAGAAAGCCAGCTACTCAGCCTGAGGTCCAAAGGCAGATCCAAATGGTAGCTGTTGATGACCTGCCATAAGGCTGCCGCAGCCTGGTAACCACCCCTGGTGAGGACAGGCTGTGGCCCCAGTAAAACTCACCTGTGGCCTTTTCCATCAGATGAGTGGGTGCTAAAGAGCTGCCCTGGGGGAGGACAGGGAGACAGACACCAGACTGAGGGAGAGGGAGAATATTTGGAGCTGCCTGAGTTAGAGCTGTGGGTTCATCTTTCTCCTCAGAGGCCAGGCCCAGCCTCAGGGGAGCCTAGGGGGCTGACAGGGGGCAAGGGACTGCAGTGCTTGCAGCTCCTGCTCTAGGCTGAGTTGTACCCCAGCCCCGGATCCCATGGGTGAGGGCAGTTAATCTCCGAAGGCTGGAGTCACCACTGTTGGAGAGCAGGAACATTATGAACTTCTCAATCACATTAATTTCCGCAGGAAATTGTTGTCTTCCTTTTGTCCAAAGGTTAGTGATTTATATTTACCATCCTCTTAACTAGCCCTGAAATTTACTGTTGCCAGGTCACCACCAGCGTCCATAAACCTCAGTGTGGCAGCTAAGCACAGTCAAGTGACTTGAACCTTGGAAGGGTACACGCCAGCACTCTTGGGAGGGCAGATAACTAGCTGCAGCAGACAGCCCCTGGGGGGACGGGTCTCACGTGGCAGGGAAATGCAAGGAGGCCTGACCAGAGATGCAGGGAGGCCTTTCCCCAAGCAGCCCTGGAGGAGGCAGCTGGTTGTGCCTTAGTACCTCCCCGAAAGGAGACCTGCTTCTGCTTGCAGACGGGGCTGGCGGCACAGAAGGTATCGAGCAGCCTGGGGTGGAAGCAGGGCTCAGCCCCAGCTCTACACTTCCTGTGTGACCTTAGGCAAATTATTTATCCACTTCCTGCCTCAGTTTCTGCACCTATAATAATATGTCAAATCTCAGTAAATACTGGTCACTACTTATTCTCTGGCAGGATAGGGTGGGTGATAGGTCTGGGCCCTTGGAATCAGCCTGCTCCACTTCCCTGCTTATACTTTCCTACCCATTTCTCTGCTTAAGACCCTCCTCCCTCTGCTTACGGTATTAGAACAGGGACTTATTCTGTAAAGGACCAGCAAGTATTTTAAGTTTTGCGAAGCTTTTGTTCTTTGGTATAACTCTTCACTTCTGCTGTTTTAGCATGAAAACAGTCATAGACCATAAGTAAGTAAGTAAGTGAACGTGCATGCCTGTATTCCAATAAAACTTTATTTGTGGACTTATATGTCATATAATTTTCACATGTCACAGAATACTATTATTTTGCTTTTCTAAAGCCATAAAAATGTAAATACCATTTTTATTTTTAGCTTGCAGTTTATACAAAAACAGAGTTTGGGTGGATTTGGCCCAGGGCTTCTGGTTTGCTGACTCCTGGATTAAAAAGTGAAATTGCATGGAGTAGGTGTTTACTTTTCTCACCTGGCCTGTGCCTTTGCATCTCTAAAGAAAGGTGCCCTTTTGTGTGTGTGTGTGTGTGTGTGTGTTTTTTTTTTTTTTTTGATGACCCTGCAGTGCCTCCTGAGAGGCCTAAAAGCCAGTAGAAGCAGGGGGACAGAGGAAGAAGCCCTGTGGGAACCTGAGACACAGGCCCTGGATTGGTACCCAGTGCTCCCCTGCTTGCAGCCACAGGATCAGTGGCGCTGATTCTGCATTGGCCAGCACCCCATCCCACATCCCAGCTCAGTTCTTATAGCCCCACCTTGTCTGTGTTTCAGAGAACAGCTCCAACCAAGATGGGAAGGAAGCAGGGGCTCGCCAGCCTTTGGTGATTCTCCTGGGCTGGGGTGGCTGTGCAGACAAGAACCTTGCCAAGTACAGTGCCATCTACCACAAAAGGGTAAGTACTGCAGCGCCCTGGGGCCCTGTCTCCTGTGGCTGCTCTGTGGGGAGCTGGAGCCTTGGTCACCCCTCTCTGGACTCAGTGATGGCTAACCACTAATGTGGCAGGCCTGGGCATGGTACCAAGAATGGCCTGAGGAAGATGATGGGGTCATAGGGACTTTGGCTGGATTTCCCCCCGTATGCAGCTGTGTGGCCTGGTCTGTCCCCTTTAACCCCCTGACTGGCCTCCCTTTCTTGCTCCTCAAAACCCACAGTAGACAGGCTGTCCTGATGTGCTCTCTCAGCTGTGGAGTAATCCCTGACTTGGAGGCTGCTGGTTGGATGCGACTTCTCTGGGCGGCAGGGGCCTGGGCTGGGTGTGCTGGCTCAGTCTGTACTCCTGGGACTTCCTTTTCTGCCCAGAAGAGTTTCTGTCTTGGGGTTGACGATGGCACCTTTCACATCCCCAGGATAGAATCTCTTGGAAAAGAGGTTCATACTCGACGTTTTCCTGCTTCTTCTTAGGACACACCAAGAGTTGGATGTAGAGGTTGTGGTGATTAAAGAGAGCCTTAGGAGGGCCTGGTTGTATTTTGAAACCCCTTTCACTTCTTTGCCCTCTGGCCTGGGCCTGCCCAGAGCTCTCAAGGCAGGGAGATACCAGTGCAGGCGGCGCCAGCTGCTCACTGGAAGCCTTCCACTGAGGAGGAGGGGAGCAAGGCCAGCTGGCGCTCCCTCCTCTCAGCCTCTTTCCACTGACCCACATTTGCACTGCGCCTGAGGTGTGGGGTGGCCCTAGAATGGAGAGGGTTGGGTGAAAGGCCTCCCTGCAACCAACAAGTCTGGTCCTCTGGCATAGCCTTTGATAGCTTGCTTTACTCTGCAAGTATTTCAGCGGCATCTGAATCCCACTTGCTGGACTACACTTGCTTGCGGGCAGGCAGAGGAATAGGAATAGGTGAGTGTGGCTAGAACAGAATGAAAGAAAGGGCAGGTGTCAAGATGGGAGGGTGGGGTGGGATCCAAGCAGGGGTATGAATTTACTTTTGTGCTTCCCAAAGGCCCTCCCTGCAGATCTTTCAAGGATTAGAGGGGTGAGGAGGCGGGAGCTAGCAAGAGAGTTTGTTGCAGTGGTCAGGACTTGGGGGCTGGTGGTGCTCGGGCAGGGAAGTCTGTGGATCTGGGTGCTTGTTAGGAGGTAGACGGGTAGACTAATAAGAGATTGGATGTGGGCACAGCTTGGAGGGGTCCAGGTTTCTGACTGATGCACTTCCCAGGTGGAGGGGGTGTGTTTATTGAGGCAGGGAGTGCTAGAGGAGCAGCTGTAGTTTCTTGGGTGGATGAAGCTGTTTCAGGCAGCGTGGAGGTGGCATGGAGAAAAGGGCGTGGAACAGAGCTCTGAGGAGTCTGAGCTTGAAGAGGGAAGATGAAGAGGGTCCTAGGAGGAAGGAGGAGTGGCCAGAGGTGGACAGGAAAACTGAGGAGAGCATCACGGAATCCACAGAAAGCATCTTTGAGCTGCTTGAGAGGGCGCGAGGAAAGGTGTTATGGGGGCAGACAGCCTGGGGAGAAAGTCTTCCCAAGAGAGGCAGGCGGTTGGGGTGGCAGGGCTGGTGGAGGGGTCACCTTGGAAAGGAAGGGGTTGCCTTTGCCCTCTGGTTTGGATATAGGATAGGTGTGGAATTTTTATTTCCTAACCCAAAACTCCTGGTACTTTGTTATTTAAAAGAAAAAATAAAAACACCTTGTTCCACCACCTGGAGATGCTCCTATTTGCACTTTAGTGCAAGATATTCTTTCAGCATCCCCCCCGCGCCCCGTATCGTTCCTTTACTTAAGTGAAAGCTACCGAATATACTACTCTATATCCTGCTTTTTCTCAGATCACGATTTCTGCCTTCCCATGTTAATACATTTTCATCTCATCTAGTTTCCAGGCCATATTCAGCTTCGCAGCTAGTTCTCAAAGTGACCTTTATAGCGGTTTTCTCCCCAAAGGATCTGATCTTAGACCACACAATGTTCCTTAGACCTCTTTTAAATGTAGAACAGACCCTTTTTACAGGATCCCAACTTACTGAAGCGCCCCAGCTAGGAGAGCATTTCTAGGAGTACATGACCCCGAATGCTGCCAGAATGAGAACAGGACGGGGGCTGACAGGCGGCAGGGGAGCTGACCATTTGAGACGCTCTAGGTGACCTTGGTAAGAGCAGAGTGGTTGTCGGGATTGGAGTTGAGCAAGGGGTTGTGTGTGACATTGGTCTAGGAGAGGGTGGGCGTTCTGCGTGTTGGAGGGATGTGGTGCAAGGCAGAGGCTGTAAGAAGATGCTTGGTTGGTTTGAGCAGGAGTCTGGAGAGGGGAAGAAACTGAGAATATAGGAGAGGGAGGTGAGGACTGACAGGGCTCCGGGACATGGGATCGAGTGTGCAGATGGAGAGAGATGGTGTCTTCAGGGAGGGAGGAGAGGCTGGGATCGGGCATGCAGTGAGACCAGGGTCTTGGTGCAGGGGTTTCTAGGGAGGTGGTAGCAGAGATGCCCAGCACCCCAGAAACCTCAAAGTGAGGCAGACCGGCAGATGCAGGAAAGCTTGGGGTGTGTGTGTGCCTTCCACAGGGGTGTTGGGCATTCATAGGGTGAGCGCTCTGTGTGTCCTCACTCACAGCTGATGTGGAGTCAGAGGCCACATGCCGTGTGTGCCACACGGTGCATTCATAGGGATTGCTGGGTTTATGTCTGCATCACAGGTAATTCTGTGTGCGCACATGCACTCTTGAAGTGCAGTGTACAAGTCATACCTGCCAGTGGTATATGCGCTTGTGTGTCTTGTGTGCTCATGGGTGGCGTGGTGCGTGCACTGTTAGTGAGTGGTGGGAACTGTTGAGTATCTGATCTGTGGGGCTTGAGGTGGATGAGCTGTGGGGATGTGCAGTGGTGCTTGCATCTATAGGCAATGTGGGTAGGTTGGGGATGGGAAGACATTTCATGTTCCGCTGGGGAGTCAGAACAGAGCACTTTGTGTAATTTCCCAGAGCTAAGGGACCAGGTGGTATCAGGGACCCCCTCTTGGGAGGGGCGCTTAGGGCTTGCAAGGGCCTCAGTAAGAACAGTGCCAGGAGGAGCTTGGGCAGATGTCAGACTAGAGTGAGAGGGAGGAACTGAGCCCAGGGGGCTCATGGCAGGGCTACTTCCACTGTGGCCATTCAAGTATTGTGCCCATATGATCTTCTTTGGGTTATTCTACCGCCACTAGGACCACTTCCAATTATTTGATAGTTTACTTTGAGGCAGGTGATATTTTGGACACTTGAGATATAATTTTTTCATTCTGTTTTCACCATAACTCTGAGATGGATGTTATCCAAATTACAGATGGAGACAGACTCACCAGAAAGATGAAGTAAATTGCTCTTTATCCTGGTGGTGCCAGGAACTGAACTTAGACTTTCTGGCCCCAGAGCCTGCCCAACTCAGCTTCCTCTCACATGGGGGCCTCTGCCTCTGAACAGGTTCATGAGAGGGGGTTAAGACTCAGGCAGGGTGGCTTTGGCTGCCTTTTCTGATTGACTTAGAAGGGGATCCATCTGGAGAATTGGAGGTGTACTTGACCCAATATTGAGGGATCAAATAGAGAGTTTGGCTCAGATTTTAGGATTTGAGGAACAACAGCATTTAGTAGGTTTTGAATTTCAGGCCAAGTGGGAGGAATGGCCCCAGCCTTGGAACCAGGCAGATTTGGGTGCCAGGTCACAGCTGCTAGAGAGTAAGACTCTGTTTGGCTCAGAAGCTACTCAGGGCTTTGTGGGAAGGCGGCAGTGGCCAGAGACTGACATGATGTGGTCCTGGCTCACGAGTGGCCTCTTGTGGTCAAGGCTGGGGCCTGCCAGCTGTCTCAGGGGCTAGGTCTTATGGGGGTACCTTCCTGCGCCTGGGAGGCAGGAACCATCAAGAGCAAAGTTGCTGAAACAGGGTCTAGCTGAACAGCAAGGCTTTGTATGTGGTGGATTTGAGCAGATGAGGGTAAAAGGTCAGGCATGAGATGGGGACAGAGAGCTGACCAGAATGAGGAGACTTCTCTGGCCAGTCTAGATGTTTCCAAAGCATGCTCTGGGCTCCAGAATTCACATACCACCCCAGGCTGAGGCGCTTGACCAGCATGAAGTAACTAGCCCACAAATGGGCCCTGAATCGACTTTTTACTCCAGAAGGCGTCATGTCTCTTGAGTAACGAGGTGGCATCCAGGCTGCAGTAGATCCTGAAGCACTGCTGAGCTTCTGGGCCTCTGAAATTGTAGTTGCTGGGCCCCTCTGACCTTAGCTTGTACCCACGACCTCCACCCCATCCCGGAGGACCGACCAGGCTTCTCTCCTCTCCTCAGGGCTGCATCGTGATCCGATACACAGCCCCATGGCACATGGTCTTCTTCTCCGAGTCCCTGGGCATCCCTTCACTTCGTGTTTTGGCCCAGAAGCTGCTTGAGCTACTCTTTGATTATGAGGTTGAGAAGGAGCCCCTGCTCTTCCATGTCTTCAGCAACGCCGGCGCCATGATGTACCGATACGTACTGGAGCTCTTGCAGACCCATCGGCGCTTCTGCCGGCTGCGTGTGGTGGGCACCATCTTTGACAGCGGTCCTGGTGATAGCAACCTGGTGGGGGCTCTGCGGGCCCTGGCAGCTGTCCTGGAGCACCGACCCGCCGTGCTGCGCCTGCTGCTCCTGGTGGCCTTTGCCCTGGTGGCGGTCCTGTTCCACATCCTGTTGGCTCCACTCACTGCCCTTTTCCACACCCACTTCTATGACAGGCTCCTTAATGCAGCCTCTCGCTGGCCCGAGCTGTACCTCTATTCGAGGGCTGACCAAGTGGTCCTGGCCAGAGATGTGGAACGCATGGTGGAGGCACGCCTGGCACACCAGGTCCTGGTGCGCTCTGTGGACTTTGTCTCATCTGCACACGTCAGCCATCTCCGTGACTACCCTGTTTACTACACGAGTCTCTGTGTCAACTTCATGCGCAGCTGTGTCCGCTGCTGAGGTCCTTACCCACTCGCCTCACCTCCGCTCCAGAAATAAACGCCCTGACGTCTCCCCCCAACTTATATCCATGGGTGGGGTCCTTACCTGGTTCACCTCCCTAAAGCCCTTTGGGACTTTGTGTCCCCCTAGTAGAGAATTTCCAGGGGCCTCTGCCCTGTGGCCTGTGGTAGTCTGATGAACCCAGGATCCCAGGGGCTGCAGCACCTGTGTGTTTCTGTCATGCTGTTGATTCCTGTGGCATTTAGGCTGAAAAGGGTCACACCAGGAGGGCGTGGGGAGTTGATGATGAGCCCCAGGTTGAGCTTAGATTTCTTGAATGCAAGGTGAGCTTTGTGGGGAGGTGTCAGAGGGTAGGGCCGGGTTGGGTCAGCCCCACAGCGTGAAGCATCACCCCATGGATCCCACTGGAAGTTCACTCAGAGGGGCTCCTGTGACTTCACTGCCAGGGGATTGAGGGAGAAGTCAGATGGGGAGAGCTGAGAATGCAGGGATGAGGGCCCTGCCCACCACAATTTGCCAGGAAGCCACTGGATCCAGGAACGTTGCAAGGTGTGTGTGAAAGGGGCAGATGGAGCAGGGAGCATGAAGCCAGCAGCGCCACATGGGAACTGGGTCTGTGAGGCACCGTAAAGAACAGAACCAGAGCAAAGGGCCATTTGGCTAAAACAACAAACTCATTTATCTCTTTGAGGGAGAGCCACGTGGATCCTCTTTAAACAGAAGTGGCTTCAGCCTCACAGTTCTATACCATTCTACAAGACACAGCTGCATAATGATGGCACCTAGTAGGTACTCAATAAAATCTTGATTGAATAAACAAGCTTACTGTGGTGATCAAAGGGCTTTGGGGACACGGATGGACTTTGAAAGTTTGACAGGCAGTGAAGGAGATGGCTGGGTAGCTGGTATTTGGGCCAGCCCTGATATTCTCAGAGCTAATGGCTCCTCTGTCTCTAGAACCCAGCTCTCTGCATCATGTCACTCTGCATCTTGTCAGCCTTCTGGGACTCCCAGCTTCTGCTGCAGCCTATTTGAAAGCTATGTGGTTGCATTCCTAACTGTGGCCAACAGGTGGCAGTGCAGCCTGTGCCATGAGACAGATCTAGCATCCCACTGCAGGCTTGGTGCCCTCGCTCTGGGTTAATGTCCCTATTAAGAGAGCATATGGCCTCCAGGGTGGGGGTAACCAGGCTGACAGTCTTAGGCAGGGAGGGAGGAGAGTTGAGACTTCAGGGGGGCCAGTCCCGTAGGACTGGGCATTGCCTATGTCTCTTCCAAAGCCTTAGCTATCATATAGATGTGCCACCACACATGCCACCTATGTTCCCTAGGATTTTCTGTCCCAGGGTACTTGTGTTCAGGATATTTGGTGCTTTCAAGCTGGGCATGGGGGTCGTGAAAGAATCTGGCTGGGCTCCAACCAGTGGTTGGTGATTTGTCATCTGGGTGTTGGCAGTCATTGGCAGCGGATCTGATTCTGTGGTGGGCCCTGTGGATGTCGAGATAGGTGTATTAAGCAGATTGGGGAGGATGGAGGATGAGTCCAGCACGTGAGAACATGCAGAGCCTGACGTCATCAAGATATTCTGAGCCTTGAATTGTAGCTGAATCTTGTTTCTGTGGTGGGTGAGGACTGACTTATCCGCAGCTTTGAGCACTACCAGATTGCCTGGGCACGCTGCTTACTTGTTGGCAGTAGGCACCCACAGGGATGCTCATCTCACAAGGTACCGGGCCTCGGTTCCTTGACTTGAAGACCCTTCTTAAGATATAGGGGTTTCTACTGTTTGAGGACCCAGCCAATAGCTATATTGGGCTGTTGGTTGCTAGGACAGAGAACAGAAAAGAGCCACGGGTTATGTGTGTGTGTGCATGTGTGTGAGATGGCGGTTCCATTTTTAGTTTCTGGCTCATTTCTGGGGACTAGAAAGGCATAGAGGCTCAAGGCTTGTTTTTTCACCCAAGGTTATGCTGCCCCTGCACTAGATTGGGGGACAGAACTTCACATCCCCTCCGTACCCCCAAGCTCTGACCTCTTATGTGATTAATGAGCTGACGATTCTGCATCAATAAGGAATTAACCTGGAGCCCCTACCCATCAATAGTCAGGAATCCAGGTCCCTAGCCCACCCCCACTCCTCAGGGAGTGCTCCAGGGTCCCTGAACAGACCAACCCTGCACTGCTGTCTGCACCCACAGTCCAGTCCTTTCCCACTCACTACTGCCAGGAATTCATCCCTTAATTGCCTCTATTCACACCACCACATCATTCCTACATACACTTACACATGTGTGCATGTGCACACGCGCGCGCACACACAGAGGCAGCAGCTGTTTATATTGGTTTTAATCCATGTCAAATGTAGTTTACAAAGGGAAAGGACAAGTACCTTTGTATAGAATATACAGACACAGCATCACACCATGGGGCCCACAGGAGGGGCGGGGGAGACACACTTTTCCCTGGGAACAGCAGTTCCAGTCCCAGGAATGGTTTTCAGCAGAAGGCTGGGCAACCAGGAGCACCCTCATCCAACCCCACTCTCAGCCCCTGCTTCAGCTCGGTTCCCATTTCCTGTGCCTCTCCCCCTTCCTGACTCCTTATAAAGAGCCCCAGGAGCTACGACTAAGGAGAGGACCATGTTCCTGGGAGCATGTGCCCCATGTCTGGGAGAAGAAATATACACCACTGAACACCGAGCACATGGGAGAGGGAAGGGACACGGTGGGAGAGGGAGAGGTAGGCACCCCAAGAGATGGATGGGCCGAGCCCCCAGCCAGCCCTGGAGGCACTTTCCAGGTGTTCTTAAAAAAAGAAAATCATATAACCAAAGAGGAGGGGATGGGGCAGAGGGAGAGTTGTCCCATTTATACACAACATTGTAAACATACACCGTCTATATTACATGTGCTTCAGTCTGGTGGTTGCATGTCTGTCGGTCTGTCAGTCTGTCAGTCTGGGGGGCTGGATCTCAGGAGCCTTGCCCAGTTACTCCACCTCCCCCACCTCCCTGCCCCATCCTGGGAACAGAACTGGGAAAAGGTAGTCCCCAATCTTGGGGGGAGCCAGCAGGCAGGGCCTGGGCCTTAGCCTCCATTCTGGTTCCAGAGTCCTGTGTGTGTGTGTGTGTGCGTGTGTGTGCATGTATGTACAGGGGGAATCAGTGTGCAAGTATGTACAAAGGGGAGGGTCACGTCACAGAGGCAGGGCAGGAGGGGTGGCTTGAGGCAAGGCCTGCCTGGGTGGCTAGCTCACAAGTAGATTCTCCGCAGGTCTCCAGGTGCTGTGATGGTGTTGCACTGAGGGCAGAGCTTCTTGGCACCCTGCAGGGAGAATGGGGGTGGGGGGCTTTGGTTATACACGCTGTCCGGCATGTTTGCTCATGTGAGTGCCTGGGCCTGCAGCCATGTCTCCCTGTACCAGTTGTGCGCTGGGACCTTGGTGCTATCAGCCTGGGCTTGGGATGCCCGGGCGGCCTCTGTGAGCAGGCAGGCACGCTCCTGTGTTGGGGGGATGCCAGGATCAAACCGCCTGGCCAGCCCCGCAGCAGGAGCCCCGGTAATGAGAACAAGGCTGGGTCCAGCTGTGGCTGCCGAGGCCCTAACGAGATTACATGCGGCCTTTGATCAGGACACAGAGCCCACGTCCGGGCCTTTTATTGCTGTCTCCGGGCGACATTTTAATGGCTGCTCCTGAGCGAAGAACAGGGGCAGGAGCAGAAGGAGCTTAGTAATGGGAGGGGGAGGGGCTGAGGCCTGGTCCTGCTTACACCCATATCCAGCCTGACCCAGGATCTCACCCATCTGTGTGATACAGTGGGCCTTCCCAGGGTGGGGTAGGGAGAAAGGCACAGGCAGAGAACCCTTAGAGGGGGAGATTTTAATAAACCTGGGGTGGGGATGAAGAGAATATAGTGAGCTGGCGGCAGGGTGTGTGTGCATGCGTGTGTGCGCTGAAAATCCTGTTGTCTTGCTATGTTCTATGCTCCAGTTTCCTCCTGCTCCTCCCTCCTTTCCCCTTCCTCCCAAGCAGGCTCAAGCATATAACATAGACACATGGGTAGTACCCAACAGCCACCCACTCCTCAAACCCCATGCCACCTCACCAGGGTCCGCAGCCAGCACTCCTCACAGTGCACATGCCAACACTGGATGGATGTTAGGGGCATCGAGTATGAGTCCTAGGGAGGAGGTGGGCAGAGAAGGGGTCACTCTGAGGCTGGCCCACCCTCTGAAGAGCCCATCACAGTGCAGAGATCCTCTCCAACCCCCAGGGGGCAGTGAAGCCCAGCCAAGGGCCTCCCTAGGCTCCCTCTCACCATGCAGATGAGGCATTTGTACCGGTCCCCACGGGATAGCTGCCGTTCAAGTTCCCTGACCCGAGCCTTCAGGGCCTCAAACGTGGTCACAGCTGAATCTTCAGTGATTCTGCAAAGAGGATGGTATAGTTGGGCAGGTAACAAACAGGCTGGCATCTAATTTGAACCCCCAGTCCACACCTCCCTTGAATTCCAGACCACATATATAAATGTCTCTCCAGACATGCCCGCCCATATGCTGTGTCTGCAAACTCCACATTCCAGAACTAAGCACCTTACCTTCCTTGCTCCTCCACCTCCACCCTGAATTCTAAGCCATATATCTCGAACCATTCTTCCTAGTGACCCCAAATACCACAGCCTGTTGTTCATCTCCTAGTATCTCTGGACTCTGCTTCCACCACCACTAGTTCTTCTATGAATTACTCCACTAACCTGAAGGGCCTCTGCCTCCAGTCCCCTCATCTCCATTCCATTCTCCCAGCACCTAGAATTTTTCAAATTTGACCATTTCTTGTCTTTTCTTTTTACATTTTAAAAAGACAGGTTTATTAGGAAAAGAATAAAGAAACAGCAAGGCACCTTACAGTCACAGGTGGGCAAAAGAGCTGTTCCTGTTTTGCAAAGGAAAAAGGTTTATGAAAACAAACACCTACATAGTTATAGGCAGGCAGGAGAGCTGCCAAATTAAAACATTTATACATCCACCATTTCAATATATCAATCTGAGTCAAGCTCTACCAAACTCATAAGGCGTATGAGGCCTTCCTTGGTCTAGCCCCAGCCAGCTGCATCCCTCAGCACCCACTGTATACTTCATGCTCCATCCATACCAAACCGAGTTTCTCCATCCACACCGTTTTTTATTTCCTTGAACTCTCAGCACTTGCTGCTTCCCCTGGGTCACTCCTACTCCTAACTCACTTTCTTCATCTCATACTTCAGGCCTATCTCATACTTCATCTCATACTTCATCCCCCCCTCCTCTCAGAAGTGCTTTCCAGGCTTTCAGTCAGAGCCACCAATGGTGGCAGCCTCTTCTCTCTCCCAGCCATTCAAAGGCTCCTTGTTTCTTCCTAGGCAGATCCCAGGTAGTCCTCACCTCTTGTCCAAGCCCTGCACAAGGTCCCTACAACTTCTCAAAGACTCTTTGTGCTGCAGTACTCATCAGGGAATAGCTAGAATAATCTCAAGAAGTGATCCCTCCCACTCTTCCTAAAACAAGTGAACAGAAGACAGAGGAGCTCACAGAGGGAAAAGAATGCTTTCTGGAGCAAGAGAAAAGACAATGCTAGCAATGGGCCATAGGGAATAATGATAATACAAATAAAATAGCTCAAATTTATTAAGCACTTAGTAAATGCCAGAGATTGTACTGAGGGTTTGATAATTATTATCTTATTTATACCTCACAGAAAGCCCATGAGAAGATTTTAATATTCCCACTTTATATGTGAAGAAACTCAAAACAGAAAACATTAAGTAGCCTGCTCTAGGTTCATGCAGACTGAGGGAGATGGGACCCCAGTGGTCAAACAGTAACTATGCAACTAACCATGACTCTATACTGGTTGTATCCAGGAGATAGGCATCCAGGCTGAGGAACAGGAGGGATGAACAAAGGCCAAGAGGCTCAAGAGCCCCACCTGGTTGGAGGTGTGGGAAAGAAGAATGTATCTGGTAGGTCCTCAGATGCCACAGTCAGAAACTAAAGCTTGTCTTACAGATGATAGAAGTAATGAGGATGGTGTTAGAGGGCTGTGACAGAACGAGAGCTGAGGTTCAACCAGGAAGCAAAGAGGGAGCTGAGGTGGAATCACAAGTGTGGGCACATGGTAGAGGCAAGGACCAGCTCCTAAGGTGGAAAACAGCTTGGAGGAAAACAATCGGCCCAGAAAGGTCATCTGAGTGCTACCTGGGGTTTGTGAGGGGATGGGTAACATGCCATGGGCAACAATGAATTCTGGTTTCTACTCTTCTTTCTTAGGATACATGCCCCAACATAGAATGTGACTTCATGATCTGTGTCCCTCTTTCAGGGATGCTTTAGCTCCCTCACTCCAAGGTCTCTGCACTGCATCTCTCCAGGGAAGCTGGGAAAGGCTTGGACTGGCACCGACTGATTTGCTGGGAGCACCATGCAACTTTCCAGCTCTTAACTGTCACCACCTTCTCCCTCCTCATAAGCACCAACAGCACTAGCTCCTCCCCTGGCATTTTGCCCAATGCCTATGTGCCACTCCCATCTGGATTGCTGGTAAATCCCTGACAAGGAGATAAAGATGGGTAGCTTCTTCTCTGAGGTCCAGGCTGAGCATTTGCCTGGTCCTATGTGGTTATTTCAAAGACAGGAAACCTAAGGCCTGGGACGAGGGCAGGAAATAAACTGTCAAACCTTATATCAGAAAATGAGCTAGAGCTGGAAAGGCAACAAGGATGGTCAGGAGAGAATGAAGCTGTTTCTTGCTCCTGCTCCAAAAGCTCTAAGGCCACATCCCTACTTCAGAGCCAGCCTCTCCAAAATGTGCTTAGCACATACCTGGGCTCTAATCTTTACTTTGGTGAGATACCCACGCCTCCTGACCCTGACCCAGGTTGGCTGTGAGCTATTCCTGAACGCCTCCTGGGTAAGGGGTCAAGAATTTGCTGGAAGCAACGATAACATCCTGCCTTCCTCCTTCCCTGGGTTATGAAAGATTTAGGGTCAAACCATGCTGTGTATCAAGAAGAGAGAAGTTATGGGGTCTGAAGATCATGGCAGATCTAGACCCACTGGAGATCTCTACATCACTGACTAGTCCCTAACTTATCCCAGAGAGCCCCACCTACTGGTGCTGTGCTCACACAGGTGGGACAGAAATCCTGACTCCCCCCAACCCTGGGTGGGTAGTACCTTCATGGATGGCCACTGGCTCTGGCCCCCACCTCCCCGTTAGGCGCCATCCCTGATTAATGATCTTGTCTGTCTGATTTATGAGTAGCCCCTCCAGACGAGGGTGGGTGCCCCTTACGGCCCCGCCCGCCCCGCTCAGCTGGAGTAGGAGAGAATTATTAAATAAACATCCATACGTCATTCCTCCCCCCCTCCAAACTGGTTGCACCGAATCCGAGCGGCCCGCTTCGGCGCTGACACGGAGCAGCTGCGGTGATTCATGGGCAGCCGGGCCCCGCGCCGCGGCCCATACATCATGCCAGCAGCACTCGCGGCCCCGGCCGAGATAAACTGATCAACCACAACGGGCTGGAATGAATTTATGACAACACAAAATGGAGGGAAACAAATGGGAGGTGACCCTGGGCCACCGACCTGGCCCTGCACTGGCCTGCAATCCACTCTCCTGGCAGGAGGCAAGATGGAACACTGGCCCTGGAATGAAGAGGCTGCCTTTTAACCCCAGGGAACCTGGTCTCTAGTGGAGGGAGGAGTGGGTGTGGGGAGTTAAGCAATGGCCAATGGCAGTAGTTCCAGGAAGCCAGACCCGGACAATGCTACCTCTTGGGGCCAGAACTCTTCTTGCTTAGGCTTCTGGAACAGCAATAAGATGCACAGCTGATTTTAAGTCCATGTGGCTCCTGGGGATCTAGGCCAGGGGTCACACAGCTCTGGATGAAGTACTAATATATCCCCTTTTATCCTGCCAGAAAAGCTAGGCCAAAAATTCCTACCAGAAGTGATGAGACCCAATGCTTCTGCCTAAAACCCACTGCAAGCGCCACCCGGGACAAGAAAAATGAAACCAATTTAGCTCCCGATTAAGAAACAGAAACTGGAGATGAATCAAGTGCGCTAGCTGGGCTGGGCAGCCATACATCACATTCCCCGGGTGGAGGCCGCCGCAGCGGGCAGGCGGGTGGGCAGGCAGGCAGGCAACCCGCCCGACTGCTCCTCCCTCCGCCAAGGCTCCTGGGGCCGTGGCCCAACGATCAATTCACAGAGTCATGCTTAGCACCAGCTGGGCCCCAATGCCGGCCATGTGCCCAGGGCTGGAAGACTAAGCTGAGTTCTGGAGGACCAGGAGCCCTGGCAGCAGGCTGCTTGCAAAGGGCCCCCCATTCCTGGCCCAGCACTCACTTCTCAATGTCACTGTTCTTGCAGGTCTTCTGCATGGCTTCCTGCTTGCTGCTCTCACCGTTGCTGGTAGATGGCATCTCTGCTGGGACAGAGAGGCAACTCATTCTCTGGCCAGATGGGGCAGGCACAGGTGAGGGGTTGGGCTTGAGTCAGTCACCACCACCCAAGAGATGTCCCCTTCTCCCATACTGCTCCTGACCCGAGACAGAACTCACCGTCACTGGCCCATTTAGAGAACTCAGGTGTGATGCGTGTGCTGGGAGGGCCGCCACTACAGGAAGGAAAGAGAAAGAACAAAATGAGCCTGAGGGTGGGTGCCTGGTTAACCCCTACCTCAGGGCTTCCCTTTCCTTCCCTCCACCCACCCACCCAAGCCTCTGCCACACTTGCTTTAGGACTGCACCCCGCAGTGCCTCTCTCTCCTTGGCTTCACCAGGCTCCTCGCCTGTGCAGGGGATGACATCAGCTTCTGTGTATCTGGCATGGTGGTCAAGGACAATGGATCCGAGTTTGTGGTAGGCCACGAGAGCTGAATCCTTAGAAGGGCTTCCCCTGGCCAAAGCTGAGACCATGACCCTGGGGATAGTGTGGGCATACCTACCAAGGATGCTAGCTGCTTTTCCTATTCCCTTTAGCCTTTCTCATCAGCCCCACCTTGTCCCACAGTGCCCCAAGGATACTGTGGCTTCCCATACTCCAGAGTGTCATCCCCATCCACATCCAAGTCAGCATCGCTGTCTGGATTCTCTTTGCCGCTGCACATGACGAAGCCAGAGCCTGTGGGAAACAGGGTATGGGGAGGGCCAGGGGTCAACCAGACTAGGTTAAGGGTGCCCTTTCTGTCACCTCTAGGCAGGGGGTTAGGTTCTAGGACAGATATTTAGGTGCTCTTGACCTGACATTTCAGCCTGCATAGTTCATCCTTTTCTGCCACTTCTTGTTGCTGCAAATGGTCTCTGCTTATGAACTAGCCCACTCGTACTCTGTATCAGGTCCTCAGGAGATGCCTAGTCCAGGCCTGCTGTCTATCTATCTTCCAGATCTAGGACTATGACAAAGAAATTCACATCTAAAAGGCCACCCTTACCCAAGACTGAGACATTCGCTGTCATATGGTCCAGCCTGTCAAGTCCATCAGAAGGGAGAGCAGGCTGGCTACAGCCAGTCAGAACCATACAGCGGGACCCCCCAGCCAATGTCCTGATTTTGGCCGCTAGGTCCTTGCCAGCAAAAACATCAGGCAGCTGTTCAAATATTTGGTGTCTGAAGCGCCCGACATTAATTATTCATCTCCACCTTACTCAGCCCAGATTCCTGGACAAGTGTAGTTATAAAGGGATTAGGAAGGGACAGACGAGGGAGGATAGGCATGCACACCTGCTTCTCAAGGCAGTCCATGAAGGCAACCAGGCTGGACAGGGGCAGGGCCAGGCAGGCAGCTAACTCCACCCAGCTGTACTGGGCACAGCCATAGGCAGACTCTCGGCCAGCGGGAAGGGGTGAGCTGCTGAAGTCACACCAGGCCCACGTGGCCACCTGCCATGTGGTATGTCTGACTCCCAGGACACCCTTCCTGACAGACCTGGGTCAGGGGCCACAAAGTTGCTTCTCCCTCTCCACGCCTGCTTTTTCCTACTGGTCTCAGACCATATCTCACCAGCCAGTATAGCAGCCTTGCCAGGGACAAAAAGAGATGAACACATTGGAACCTGTAGTGAGTAGAATCAGCAAGGAAATTTTTAAAGAGGTGAGGAAGAAACTCAAGAATTTCTTCTTATCCACTTCTTCCACTCAGGTGCTTATACCCTCTGGATAACTATCTGGCAATGGGTCCTCATGCCTCTTGCCTCTTCCTTCATCCTGCTTACCACAGAGTTCTGACCCTTTTTTTCCCAGCTCCCAAACCAACTGTGGCTCCCACTGCACGCACAGTCAAGTCCAGGCTCCTCTGGGCTGATCCATGAAGATCTGGATACACCTATGTCTCCCCCTCACTCCTTTCCTCGCTTCACTCCATGAGCCCTGTGCACACAGACTGCTGCATCGCAAACACAATCCACTGTGTCCTGCTCCTAAGACCTTTGCTCGTGCTGGTCATTCTATTCATTCCACCTGGAATGTTCCTCATCTTTCAAGCCCAATTCAAAAGCACTTTCTTCCTGAACTTTCTCTCTTCTCACCTCCAGTCTGATCTCACAAAGTGCCATCCATCCCAAAGGTCAGCAGGAGCAGGGAAAGAAAGAGGCTGGGCACGACTGAGGCTCTACCCCTCATTCCTGACAGTCCTCATTTGCCCTCTACACTGAGGCACCAACAAACTCAAGGCAGCAGGCAGGTCAGCAGCAGGGCCATTAAGCTGAGAAAACACCAAGTTACAGCTCTGTCTCCTGTTCACGGCCAGGTGTCCTGACAAGCAATTCCTGTAGTGTGTGTGAGTGGCACCTCTATAAACCCTCTGACAGTTTGGGAGACAAACTCCGCCATCAATCAGAATGTAGCTATCAGGTTCACTTATGGCCTGGACCCCTGAGCTCTGCCAACTCCCATCCCCCAGGTGCATGAAGCTCAGCAGTCAGCCTCACATCCTCAGCTCAGCCTGGCCCTGCCCTGCCTCGTGGACAGGCAAAAAGGACAGCAGAGAACCCTGGCACCACTCCTTAGCTCAGTATGGTTCCCATGAGAAAAGAGGCGCCCCAATGTCCCAGCTTCTCAAAACATCAAGGAACCCTTTCGGCTTAAGTCTTATCCTCTGCAGCCTTACTGCCTGCCAGGCCTGGACCAGGATTCATACTCTAGAGGAAGACAGCTATCTGCTCTGCCAAATCCTACTGTTTTCTCATGTCCCCATGCTTTTGTTCCTCCTGGTATCGCTGCTTAGAATTGTCTCCCTTCTAGTCTTCCAAACAAATGCCTGCTCATTCTGCAAGCCTGTCTCAGCTCAACCATGCCTTCTACTTTATTTAACTCACAGTGCCTACCCACAGCAGTTGCTCTGTAAGTATTCCTGAGTGAACTCTCACCTCAACGTTCTTTTAACTTCTCTTGAGTGCACTGTTGAAGACACATGGTTTCAAGATCTGATTCCTACCCGCAACATGTTGTGAGACTTTCCCAGGTATTTCTACATAGGTGTCCACCTGTTCCTTGTACCCAGTCTTCCTTGTAACTCCTAAATCCTATGACGTACTGTCATTATTCCTCACCAGACTGAAACTTACGTCTGACTCTGCTGTGAATGTAGTATCCACCAGCATAGAGCAGGCTGGGCCCCCAGCAAGTGCCATACACCACGCACCAGCAGTGACGGCTATACAGACAGCACCATTCTGTTAGGATCTGGGGGCCCTGTGCCAGAAGGAAGACTGAGGCCTGATTAGCAGTGGCTGCAGAAACTTCTCAGGATAAAACCTGCCCCATCAGCCCTCAGTTGGGCAGCCTTCTGCTCCTCTGACCAGTTGGGTAGGATGATGAGCATGACACATCATCTTCTGCCAAGGAAAAGGTGTGTCTGTCTCTATTCCATGCTCTATACTCTGACCCTGACTCCTCGGCACAGACAGATTTTGGGAACCTCTCCTTACCCCCACAGGTGTTCAGAACGGGCTGCTACTGCCAGTTTTACTCTTGTGCTATCCCAGCCAACTCCAACCTCTTTCCCAGCACATTAAACTTTATTTTCTTAATGAAATGTCACTTGCTGACTTCTGGCAGAATCATAGTAAAAAGAAACGGCCATAAAGCTATTTTATGCAGACAGCGCCCCCGCCAGCTTGCGCCCCTCCTGCTTTGAGAGGAAGGTTCCCCCAGTCGTTTTATGTTCTCAGCTGCTGGAAGATCCCAAGCCAGTACTCAAAGGCAAGATGGCACAGAGAGCTCCTTTCCAAGCCTCTGCTCCTATTCCAAGTAGCTGTGGGGGTAGCAGGCAAGCTGCCACTCCTGCTGCTATCCAGGGATGGGACTCAGTCCCCCCAGACAACCCATTGTGCCCCTGTGGTCACCAGAGAGGTCCCCTTGTTATGGCTCGGCCCCACTTTAAAGTGACATAAAGGGCTGACTGCCACCCACAGGCCAACTAGGCCTGATGATCACGGTGCCCTGTCTAGGTGGGTGTGTAGTGTGAAAAACTCCTTCCCTCCAAGTGACTACTTAGTGATAAGGGAGAGGGTTATATGCAGAAATGATGCAAGTCCAAATTTTATAAAAACAACCCCTCTTCCATAAATTCATTTCTTTCTGGGTCATCCAGAAGAAAAAGAGGAAAAAAAAAAATCAGTGTTAATTTAATCAATTGATCAGATGATCGATTGAGAAACTGGAGATGCCTGTTTACTGGGGGCAGAAACGTCCTGGAACCTGAAACCACAAAAGAGGAGCCATTGATCTCCTCACCTGCTGCTCCCAACAAAACTAAAGCCCAGGGAGAAAGGAAAGTCTTGGGGTCCTCCCGAGGCCTCTGCTCTCCAAAGGAGGGGGGGCAGGGGCAGCAGCTTCCGGAGAGTTTTACACTGGAATTAGTTACAGATGCAGTTACGGTGTCTTGTGTAAACGCCATCGATTGGGGAGCTGACAGTCTGGGGAGCTGCGATGCGGGACAATCAATCGGCCTGCAGTGTCACCTGCCACCTCGCTGAACAGTTGACAATGCAATTATCCAGTGTGGAGGCAGGGAGTTGGCGTGTGTCAAACGCACTTAGCCACTTTCCGGGCCTCCTCGATAACGCGTTTCACTGCCTCACGTCAGGAGAGACGCATACAGACAGACACCGTTTAAAACCATTGATACTTGCGCCTCTGCCTGCACTCCCTCTGTCCCTGCTTAACAATTGTGTTCCAAAAGGCGATTAAATCCCGTCAGTTGCCACAGGGGACAGAAGGTGCCCTGCTCCTTGCCACCTCTCCTCACCCCTCCCACCAAGCAAGTCATAACTAAAAGTGGGAAGGAGGTGGAAAGCAGCAGCCTAACCCCTCCACTCCCATGACTGTCTCCAGTAGTCGCTGTTCCAAGAGCTGTCACTGAGTGGACCAGGCAACAGGACAAAGCTGGGGGACATTTTTAGCATCTGGGATTTCCATCTTTTAGGAAACAATGCACCAAAGGAAGCAGCAGCTAGTGCAAGGCCTGTTTCTTTGTGCCCTTGGACTTACAATCTCCCTCACTGCCCTGACTCATAATCTGGTGCTGAAGTTTTATCAAGAACAGCCAGTTGAAAGATCTGTGCCAAAGCTGCCCTGCCATCCTCGCCATGACATCTCATCCTGGGCTACTTAGAACCAGCCTATGTCTAAGACGGGCACTTGCAAAACGTTGTCTGTAGGAAGAGGTCCTGACTGCTGGCTCTGTGGTGCCTTCCTACTCCCTCCTGCCCACCTGCTTGAGTCAAAGGGTTCCATGCTGGATTCCAGCAACAGTTCCCCTCCAGGGGTCAAAGATTCAGCTACAGATACCACCCACTTCCAGGGAAATTTCTCCATCTTATCACTCATATCCCCATCACATCATTGTCTCCTACTTAAACCAAACCATTCCCATGTGCTCTCCAGCCTGCCCCTTTCCAAAAAAGACGCGCTCCAGGTTCCCAAAATCCAGCTGGATGAACTGTCACAGGGGAGGGATCAGAACTTTTTCAGGACCCAAGAGTAGAAGGTAGGAAATGAGGAAAGGTGTGAATCATTCATCACATACCTCCTCCTTTGACTACAGGTAGGAGCAGGTTTGTCCCAAATGGCTGTATAATTAAATTTTCCTTATGCCTGCTTCTCTGGCCCAGAGGCCGCTTGTTCTGCTGGCGTGATGCCCCAGAAGAGTCTTTTTCTCCTAACTGCTGAGCTCTTCTGTAAAACATTCTAGGGGAATGTTGGTTAAGTACTAGCTGTGTGCGCTGCCCTTTATGCACTTACAACTTGGGCGGGGAGAAACAGTAGAAGTGAGCAAATTTAAGGTTCTGAGGGAACAATCAACAGCTAGGGCACACAGCCTGGCATTTTTCCTAGGGGTGGGAAGGCCAAAGTGTTTCCTAGGCACTTCCAACTACTCTCTTAAAATCATCCCGTTTTCTTTAGTGTCTTAAAGATCTAGTTCCAGGCGGCCCTATCGCAGTGCTTACCCGTTCTGTCTCGTGGTTTATTTTGTCCTAGAATACCATTTCATGCACTCCCAGGCTCCCTTTCTCCAGGTCTCCCGCTCAGTAGTAACCCATCCCCAAGGTCTGTTCCCCTCAGTCAAGTGTCTCCATCAAAATTCGTTTGTTCAGGGCCTCCACAGCAGACTGCATTCAGGGTAACTCATCTGTTCCCTCAGACCAGCTCCCATTGGGCCTGGTGGGAAGCTTTGCTGAAGATGACGAAGGGTCCCCCATCTGGGAGGAGGGGTAGAGGATGATCGGATATGGGAACTTATCTGCAATTCTTCAATTCTTTCATATCTAACAAGGACAGCAATCTCTGTTCTGTCAGCACGCACAGGGCAGCTTAAATGGGCCTCACCGCTCGCCTGCTCATCCTGCCTCTGCTCCCTCTCTCTGAAGTCGGCTGGGCAGCTTCTTCAGCCGGCGTTATCACTCCCTCTAACCGGTCTTGGCAGGCAATCTAATTCCTCCTGAAAAGGTCACCGCCATTTTAACTGCCTTTCAATCACATTAAGCACGCACTGCCCGGTTTGTGGCCCAGCCCGCCCGGCGGGCGATCAATGCACTGCACTGACACCAGCCGCCTGGCAGGGCCACACCCAACCCCCCAAGAGTTAGGGTCTATTGGACCTGGCCAGGGAGGGTAGACTGACAGATGGCCAGTCTCTGCAGCCAGGGTTCTGGGGGCAGAGGCAGTCAGGATCAGCCAGGGCCTCCCTTTGATAGCTCCCCCACCGAGGAGCTTCAGCCTCCTCCGCTCCGCTGCACCCCGCTCTCTGCCTTGTGGCCCCCGCTGATCTCGCTGTAAAACAGTCTTTCAAGTCTGCCTGTCTTTTGACTGCACTAAGCTGTTTAAGAGGCGGCAGCAGCTTCTATCAGGAAAGCTGGAGCAATTCTCTGCAGATAAAGGCACCTCCGGCCCCTGTTCCCTCTTCAAGTCTCACTCTCATTCTCGCTCTCCAAATCGCTCAAAGAAAAGCCCCCTTTGAACTCCCCTCAGGAATTCTTGAAAGGAACAACCTCACAGAGTAAACACTCAGGGAAAACTGACACCCGCCCAGGGCCTAAGAGCCCCGCATGCCCATTCTGCACTGCATCCCAGCTCAGGGAAAATACTATGTCAAATCAGCAGGCCCTGTGCAGCTTTATCCCCCTTTGGGCTTTCTGGTGCCCAAAAGCCATCAGGTCCAGTTCTGTGCCAAGAAACCTGACTAAGAAGTTGCCACAGCAATGGAAGATGTATCTGCTATCACCAACAGAGTATCCTGGAATGAAGCCTGCATGGGCTGCCACCAGACACCTGTGTGCACACAATTCACGGGCTCCAGACTCTTTAAAGCGCCAGGACAGGACTGGAGTAAGATGGCAGAAGAACATTCTCCAGCTCAGGCTCAGGCAACAGTTTGGTCTGACCTTCTGAATTTACACTTTGGCTTAACCCAAACATGTGGTAAAGGGAGAGAAGCCCAAGGCATAATGCGCCACCTGGGTTTGTAGCCCCTTCATGTAGCCAGTCTTTGTGGGATAGCACCCTCGGGAACCCTCCTGGAACTAGCCTAGAGTAGTCTGGCCCCAAGGAGACTGACTCCCTCTTCTCAGCTGCTGTGAGATTCCCCAGGGATCAGACACAGCAGCACTCCCAAGAGTGCTGCTCAGAGAACTGGAGGCAGATGGGAAGCAGATTGGCTCACTTAATGACCACAAGCTGCAGTGCCAGCTGTGCTTGTGCACAGAAGAAGAGAAGAGCTGAAGGCTAGGAGCAGACAGCTCCTCCTCTCACCTGGCCAAGGCAAGGACTTTAACAAGAGAACCCTGACCCCGGGCACCCAGCCAGTTTGTTGCTGGATCTGAGGAGGATGGGGAGCTTCCACTGGGCCATGCCATCTGCCCCCAAGGAGCTGGGCAAGGCCTGCAGACCCCTCTGCAGCAACTGTGGAGGGCACAAGGGATATAGGGAGCAGCTGGGCCCAGGCCCCTCTTGCTTCAGGGCAGAGGGCGCCTGGGGAGAAGGGACGGGATCAGAGCTAAAATTAGATTCACCAGTGAAGCTCATGGGAGGTCAAATTTTGCCATAACTCACTCTCTCCTCTGTAACTGATTTCCCTGACATGGGGCTGAGGAGGAGGAGGAAAATCCAATGTGTCTGCCTAGAAGCCCTCAGGGCCCCCAGTGCTGGAGGTGTACAGCAGGTTGCTGGATTCTCATTTATCAGCCTTAAGAGGGATGGAGTGATAAATGCATAACCGTCCCTTTAATATTTTATGCAGGTGCTAACGCGGCTTGGCTGTCACCTTCAATGCATCACCCGAGGCTGAGAGCCCCCCTCGTCACTCCTAGCTTGCAGCCTCACAATTCCATTTCCCCACCCAAATACATCCATTTTAATATGCACATCACAGGCAGGCAGCACGGTCACAAAGGAGCCCCGCCAGCAGCAGTTTCCACGTGGTGGAATGGATGACCAGCGACCAGCCACCAGTCTCTCAGCTCCCAACAGAGGGATACCCAGCAGAGACCTGGCCACCAGAGTGCCACTGTTTATGTGTTGGCTGCTTGTACCTCGGAAGCCACCTTCCAGGAGAGTGGTGGCCCGTATCCGCTTCTGCCCGCACCACTCATACTCCTCAAAGCGGTTGCTGTTCTCATGCTCGATGTCCACAGTATCATCCTCAGCCATGCAGGAGCCTTCCCTCTGTGAAGAGCAGAGCAGGATCATGCCGGTCCCAGGTCACCCCTACCCGCTCCCCAGGACGTGCCAGGAAGGCACAGCCCTAGCCCCCAGCTGCACTGTGCCAGATGGGCCCCAGCTCTAGGGCTCCTTTGGTCACAGACCTGGGCCTCTTCCCAATAATTTTCCATGGAGCCCCAGGGGAGAAGTGGGAGAGAGAAAGCAAAAGAAGGCAAAGAACAGAGAGGAAGAATCTGTGGAGACTACAAGACCCCAATAGCCCATAGATCCGGGGGCAATCAGCAGCTAGTTTCAGGGGAACAGAAGAGAAGGGAAGGGAAAGGAGTGGGGAGTAGGTGGTGATGGCCCCTCTACCTTAGAAAGGCAATGCTCCACATGCCTACTCATCTCCTGCTCCGATCCTGCCAGGGGGCGGCTGCACAGGGGACATACCTGCCCTTCATCTTGCTTCCTCCGTTTCATTTTCCCAATCCGAGCTGCATGGAGAAACCGAAAACAAAACAAAGGTGGTCACTGTAGCTCCCAAGGCCCCAGTGGAGCTGACACATCCTGACCCCCTGCCAGCCATTAGCCCTTTAGTTCAGTGCCTGACCTGGCCCTCATTATGCAGCACCTTCTGCTCCTTGCGGCCTGGTCTTACCAAGAGAATCTGGGAAACTAGTGCTAGTCTGGCCAAATGTCCACTCTTTGGTGGCAGCTGGCTCAAGTTCAACCCACACCTCCCTACCTGGAATGCTCAATGAGTCCAATAAGCAGACACATCATGTTGCTAGGCATCTCCCAAGAAGGCCAAGACCATGGGCTCTTTTGGTGTCAAGAAACGTAACTTTAGAGATCATCTATTCACTAGAACCCAAGATTCTTCCAGGAGCCTGTTATGGCCTGATGTTCATTCAACAGCCGAATCCCTTTTGTTGCTGGGCCAAGAGCCTGAGGTACAGTCTTTAAGGTCCTACCTACAATCACCCCAGGAAGAATTTCTCCTATACCCACTGATCCCATTTTACAGAAGAGGAAATTGAGGTCCAGTCATAAAGGCACAGAGGGTCTGAGTCAGAGAACCCAGAGCAACTTGGGAGTGCAGCCCTTAACTGTGTTTACCCAAACCTGTTCCATCATTTTTAATCAGTGCAGTGGGGCTGGCAGGCTCTGGAGGCAGAGGGTTGCCTGCCACACTGTCCCGCAGGGGGCTCAATTCCAAAGTGCACACTGCAAGCCCACAGCACTGCTAATTAATGCTGAGAGATGCAATCATTTCTAATTAGCTCACTAATCCCTCTCTGCAACCCTCCTGTCACCGAAGCAGGAAGGGGTCAAAACAAGGGACTCTGTTCCCTTGAGCCCCTCCCTGGATGTAACAGCAGGAGCAGAGCTAGCCACTCTGAGACCAGACTGATATGGGGGCAGGGAGGGGAAGCTAGCCTAGGAGGGAAAGGCCATTGTAAGGCCAGGCAGGACTTTCTCATGGAAAAGTCCTGACCCTGGTGGGAAGCTCATGAATGCAGTTTAGGGAGGGGGACAAAGGTGAGCAGTGACACAGGTGAGAATGAACACATTTTAGAGTTTCAACTGTGTTAGGCTCAGAATCAAGCACCTTACACCAAGTAGCTCAATTAATTCTATATTCTGAATCTAGGTTGTAACCGTCATTTTAATTGATGAAAAAACTCAAGGCTCAAAAAGATCAAGGCTCTTACTCATGAAGTTAAAAATTAAAAAGTAGCAGACAGGACAGGAAACCAGGCCTGACCCATAGCCTACAATGCTCTCCTGTCCTAAGAGACCCTGACTGATCAGTATCAACAAAGACTGATCCTCTAAGTGTGCTAGAGCAGTAAGAATATGCTTGGGTTCCCAGCTCCTGCCTGTTGAGGGCTTAAGGCAGGGATCGATGCTAACTGCAAAATAGGAAAGCCACCATCCCACCAGGACTGAGCACAGAGGTTCGAGGAACCTTGGTCTGTAGACTGATTCATGTCTTAAATTTCCTGTGTTCTCACTAGAGGAGATGTGATTATATTCTGGTGCCCTACTTGATTTTATGTACAAAAATCTAGGTTCCTTCGCTTTGACTACTCTAATCCTTGGAATACCAGGCTTGAGACACCCTGACACTCTAGAGCCAGCACTGGGTGGAGTAGGCATGCCAGTTATCAGAAAGGCAAAGAAGCCTGTGAGTTTAGGAAACCTGTATGGAGCAGTGTGTCAACACAAAGGTTCCATACCTACCCTGCTTATTGTCCAAGGGATTGCCTCCTTGCGAAGTAGGGTCCTATATCAGACACCATTTGATGACTGAACGAGGAAGTGAATCTTAAAGAATTGCCAAGAAGGACAAAACACTGGGTGCTGGCCTTGTGCAGGCCATCCAGGACAGAAGATCCCTAGTAGTCCCAGGGAAGCCCCCTGATGTACCGAGTATCACCTGGAAATTCTCAGATAAACAAAGTGGGTTTGTTTTTTTCTCACCATCTTCTAAGTCCTGAATTAAACTTACTATAAAGTGTTTTGGGGAAAGATTTGCTCCCTACTTAGAGACCACCTCTGAGTAGGAAAAGTCAAGTATTTGCCAAGGAGGTAGCATGGCATGGTTGGAGAAGCACAGGCTTTGGAGATAAACTTAGTTTAAATCATGTCTCAGTTACACCCCAGCTGTGTGACTTCAAATAAATCACCTTCACCTCTCTCAGCCTCAGTTTCCTTATCTACAAATAGTATGCAACACTTTCCTCTCAGAGATGTTATGATGATACTTAACATGGTGCCAACCCACAATGAATATATTCCCTTTCCCAGACAGGGGTCCAGCCTGGCAGAGCAGAAACCAAGGGGCAGGAGCCAGCAATCTAGAACCATCATGGCCTCACTCACCAGCTGGCCCAGAGACCCTAAGCCCCTGCAACCAACCCCCAGATATACCACGCCTTAGTCAGTATAAAAAGCTAGGATCATTCAATTGTGTTCAGTAAATAGAAATGCTCCAGAGGCTTGAATCCAAAAAGGGGTGGGGGGCAGGTAGTGCATACACGATGTGCTTTCAGAGAAGGCCTCTAAGAGCTGTCGAGCCCACGCTGATCACCTTTGTGAAATGTGGGCCGACTGATAACTCAAAGAGCCCTAGGATGAGTTAGTTCCTGTTGCCGTGGGAACTCCAGATCTCTCTGCATTGTCAAGTCTCAGCAGAGAGGCTGTATTCACACTACTGGGCACTGATTAAAAACTGGAAGAAAAACATTCACAGCACCCTGCCGGCTTGTACAGTGAGGACCCAGCAGTTTGCAAATTCAAAGCGCTGCTCCCGAGTGGAATTGTGTAGCTTGTTCCTCATTCTCTGGCACTTATTGCCCCCCCCGGGGTTCGTCAAGGCCTTTAAAGAGGCTTGGGCAAGAGCTGGGAACCATAACCTCCATTAGACAGAAGGGGAAACTGAGGGCGGCCGCGCTGCAAGTGCGAAGAAGTCAAGGGGCCCCCAAATCGAAGAGACCCACGCAAGCCAGGAGCTGCAGGCTGCGAGGGAGGGAGGAGGCCGGGGGTGGGGCGGAGGGAGGGGCCGAGCAAGACTCACCATTCAGTCGCGTTTGCCGGTTGGCTCGCACTCGCAAGAAGGTCTGGAAGAAGATCCCCGGCAGATGCAAAAAAAGAGAAGAGGGTGTCAGGCGCGGCCTGGAGTCCTAGCCCCTGCCCCAGCACCGACCCCGGTCCAGGCCTGCCCCGCCCCAAACAGCCCGTAAACAAACCTACTTCCTCCCTCCCGCCGGCCCCCCTGCTCCGCCGGCCGCTCCGGGCCCTCGGCATAGCCGCCGGGGGCTGCTCTAACGGGACCCCGTGGCCACCGCGCGGTGCCGCCCCAGCCTCGGCCCCAGGCACTCGGGGCCCCGCGGCCGCCCGGCCGGCGAGGGCGGCGATGCGGGCGGATTCCCCCCGGCTGCCCGGCGGCGGCGGCACTTAGCTCCCAGCGGCGGCGGCGGCCATGTTGGCCCTGATCACGTGACCCGCCGCCGTCGCGCGCCGGGGGTGAAAGTTCACGATGTGGGGGGCGGCCGGACCGGGACCAGGAAACAGCTGCTCCTACTCCGGTAGCAGCCGGCTGGGACTGATCTGGGGTCCCTCCCACCTTCCGCTCGTTCTACCCGCCCCAACTAAAGCGTGGTCCTTTCACCCCACGCCCCCTCTCGGTGCGGGGCTCCTCGGGCCCTAGAGCCCCTGCTCCCTGGGGCGGCGATGCCGAGGCTGGCGCTGAACTGAGGAAGAGGCGTCGGATTTCCCCGATGATGATTTCACTGTACATGCCAACTGTGCTGCCCGTCCCCCCACCCCTCCAGAACCCCAGGCCCTGGCTTTTCAGCAGCCCCGTTATTGGAGGGTTCCTAACACATTATCTGCTGACATGCCCCGAAGCTCGCATAAACTCTGCACACCCACGCGGCCATCGAACAGGCGCATTCCTCTTGGATCCTCAATTCATAAGGAAATACTGCCACCCCCTCAGGTGTGTCCACACCTGAGACTTGAGAGCCGTTCTTGACTCCTTCATTCCGTACACGCAGTCCTCTAGATCCGAGAGTCTACCTTTAAAGGTCTCTTAAATCTTCTCATCTCCACCTCTTTGTATTTCCTACTCACCCTTTCGGGCCTAACGGAAAACTTTAATTCCGTTAGAGTATTTCCATCTTTACCCTCACTATAGCTCATACCATCATTGCTCTTTCCATTTACCCTCCTGGCACTCTGCAAAACTATCTGTAGCTCTTTTTTTACTTTTTAAAAAGATTTATTTATTTTTATTTACACAAGCACTGGGTACAGTGAGAAGCGCGGGAGGGTGAGAGAATTCACCAGAGCCAGAGCAGGGAGCAGAGCAGGCAGAAGGACCGAAGTACACTGCTGAGGGGAGCAGCGGGCCGCAGGAGAGGTCTGCGCGCCATGTGGGACCCTCCTCCGGTGGCCGGGGAGCAGCTGGGGAGCAGCTGGGGATCGAACCGGCGCTGCAGAGGCTGCAGGCAGCTTCGCAACCCAGCGCTCAACCGCTGCGCCACCGCGGAAGCCTTATCTGTAGCTCTTTGAGCACTCCCTGCTCTGGATTCTGGACCAGATTATCCTCTAGGCCCCCCATATCTCCGGCTTGGTTAACTGATGTTCATCTTCCAGGACCCTGGGAAGGCTTCACTTTCCCCCCAACATTGGGTTGGTTGCCTCCTCTGGGTTTCTGCACCTCTTTCGCTTGCCTTTGATCTTAGATACTTTGTCTACATAGCTGTCCGGTTTTGGGAGGTGGATCATCTCTATCCAGTTATCCAGCACAAGGGCTAGCATGTAGAAGGTAAGAGGATATTTATGAAGGAAACCCCCAAGCTCAGTGCCGGGCAAGGAAACTAAGATTCAGGTTCAAACAGACTCAGATTCAAATCTGACTCTTACTCATAATTTATGTGTTTTAGAAAAGTCACTTACCCCCTCTATAGAGCTTAATTTCCTTAGTAATAAACAAGGACTGATGAATCCTAGCTTGAATAATTGCTATGAGGGGTAAAATGAAGCACTGGTTAAGAATGTTAGGTAACCTAGCAGGGGCTAGGTAAATGGGAAACCAAAGCAGAAACCAACACATTCTCCCACCCCCTTCAGGGCCTACACCTATGATTAAAAAAAAAAAAAAAAGTCCAACATAATTGAGCAACTACTACATGCCAGGCATTGCATAAAGATCAGGGAATGGAAGTCCTCCCTGGTGACACAGGGATTAAAGACACAGCACTATTAAGCTATCACCAGCCACTGCAACATGAATTTGATCCCCAGCCAGGGAGATAACCCACCTGACACAGCAGTCCTCTCCTGTCTTGCCTGCTGCTCCCCTTAGCAGTGTATTTCAGTCAATCCACCTGTTCTGCATCCCACTCTGTCTCTGGTGAATCCTCTCACCCCCCGCCCCCCGCACCTTTGGCCTACACCCCAGTTCTTGTATGCATAAATAAATCTTAAAAAAAAATCAGGGGATGGGTTAGCCACTCTACTCCTGGGTTGCTCCCCAGCTTCACCTCTTATCATTTCCCCTTGTATTTTAATTTCTAGCAAAACTGAACTGGTAGCAGGTCCCCACACACAGCATTCTGAGTTATATTGCTATACCCTTTGCTTGTAGTGTTTCCTTCGTCTAGAATAACCTTTCTTGGCCAACAAAGAAAACTCCTACTTATCCTCTGGAACCCTGGTCAGTCATAACCTCCACTGTACTATCCTAGACATTTATTTATATCCCTGCCTAGGCTGTAATTATGTATTTGAAAATCTAACTCCTTGAAGGTATGGAAACTGGGCTGAACATGAGTGAGAACTAAATAAATGTCTGAATTAAGCAAGGGAGTAAAGAAGGCTACTACAAGGTCCTTGCCTTGGAGGAATGCCAAGTCTAGTGGGGGAGTCAGGCTCATTGTGATAGAGTACATATGCTACCACCCTCTGCAGTGCCTCCTATCAACAGCTACATTTTCTCATCCCTTGATAATGGGTTAGTTTTGTGACTTGCTTTGGCTTTGCCAAGTGATGTGTGAGTTTCAGAGTTGAGGCCTCAAGAGATCTTGCAGCGTTGGCCTTCTCCCCCTTGGTATGACACTGCCCTGCAACTGCTGAGCAAGGAAGCCACTCTAACCCACTGGAGGATGAAGCCACATGAAGCTGAGCACTCCCAACTCTTAAAATGTGGTGAGGTCATTTTGGACTTTCCACTCCAGCCAGTCCTCTAGCTGAATGAACTGCATGAGTGAGGAAATAGCCAGTCAGCTGGCAGAATCATGAGAAATAATTAAAATTATGTTAGACTGTAACGTTTTAGAATGATTTGTTATACATCAGTAGAAAAGGAAACATACCTATGTAGGTGACTGAAATATAGGATAGGGATAATCGGGATGTACAGGGTTCATGAGAAGGGCTTCCTGGAGAAGATGGTATCTAGGCAGATATTTGAAGAATAAATAGGAATTTGATAAGGTAGGGTCAAATAGGCCCATTAGTAGAAACAGAATGTGTAAAAACATGGATGTAGCACAGCCAGGGAGTGTCTGCATGAATTTGGTGAACCTGGCCCATAAGATTCATGGAGGGCATTTTTAGGAATAGAAGCTAGAAATACAGGTTGAATCTAAATCTAAGAAGGCCTCTGTGCCATACCAGAGCATACCACACTTCTGCCTGATGGTAACTCTTTTCCTAGCTCAACAGACGGTAAGGCTGAATGCTGAGTAGAGAGGATGGGCTTCTGAAGGCAGAGCTCTGTCTCCCCCTTTGCAGAGGAACTCTCTGGGACACAGCCTGGTCTCCCTCTCAGAACAAAATTCCCTAGGGCTATGTCATTGCTCCACCTACACCAGGCTTCTCTGGGTGAGGGCACTGTCTTCTAGGGGCCTCACCTAGAAGGTAGACTGGGCTGTCCCTTACCAGGGTTCGTGAGAGCTGGGGTCTCTCCCCAGGTGTGGCGCTTTGGGCCATGCAGTTTGAGTCCCATGTAAAGGCATCCAGCAGGAGGTGCCAGCGGAGGCTGGTGTCCAGCCCACACCTGGTGCTTCGCTCTGAAGCTCTGCACCTGGATGCCAGGCTGCATCAGCTGAAAGGAAAGGGTGCCCAGAGAGAACATCTCTGCTTCTAGCAAAGGCCAGGTGTGCCAGCAGTGACCCTGTTCTCTAGCCCAGAGGTCCCTGCTGCCTTGTCTTTCTGCCTTGGATCAGGTCTGCTGAGTCGAGACTGTGCTTCCCTTTGTACACTGGGGCTCCCGGAGCAGACAAGTTCCTGTTTCAACAAATGTTCCTTGGAGCAGGGTTCAGTTTTCTTTCATCTGCCTGGGGCTCTCCAAGGTAGGACTATCTTTCCTCAGACAGAAGCTTCTAGGGGGAGTTCTTTCTCTTTCCTACCACAAAGAAGCTCCATATAGTTCTAGGAACTTATTCTTGGTGCCAGCCCCCATCCCATTCTGGTTTTTAAGGATGGTGTGATTACACTCTTCTTGTTTGACCAAGCCACGCACAGGCAATGTCTGCTTCTCTCTGTAGAGGTCTAATACCAAGGTTTGATAGGACTGAATAGTTATTTGCTCACGTGTTCCTGATTTTGAAATTTGAAGTCTTCAGATGATTCTGGGCTATGTCTCTGAGTCCCTCATGAAACCAAACCCCCAGGAAACCTGATGAATGGGATGTTTCAGAGGTGCTCAGAGCCACCAGAGCAGGGGCGACCTTGGCATCTCTCTCTAAATGCACCTAGATAAGGTCCTTTCCCTGACGCATGTGCCTGTGAGGTTTCATTAGAGGTTCTCAACACAGAAGAACTGAACACAGTTTGGAGGGGAGAGGAGGAGTCAGCGCTAGGCGTGATCTCTAAGCTCTCATGTCCACCCCAGCCCCTCCTCACCTGGTATCTGTCTGAGTGGTGCAGATCATCCGTGGCAGACGAGTGTGGTGATGCTGTTGGAGACTCTCCTTCTCTCTTGATGGAAGCAGACAACAGGAGGGACTGGAAGAAGAAAAAGGACATGTGGCCTCCAGTGGAATGAGACCTACAGCCGTTCCCCTAAATTTCTTGGTCCTGGGAGCTCTTGGGAGAGAGGCAGAGAAAAGGCGGGCAGAGGAATTCAGAGGCCACTCTTAAGATCCTGTAGGCATGTGGTCAGGCCCTGGGAGTGTGGCTTGATGCTAGGAATGGGTAGAGAACCCCCCAAGGAGGTATAAACCTCCTAGACCCCAGTGAATCTCTGCCCCGGTGAGGCAGGACTCCCAGCCTCTCCCAGTGGGCTGAGATGATACATGCTTTGTTCTCCCTTAGTGAGCAGAGACTCTGGGACCCCCCTGAAGGGTCGGGGGTAAAGCTACAAACCTGGCCTGGCCCTAATATAGGCTGATGGCAGCCCCACTATGGAGACAGTAAATTAAATAGTATGTATGAGTTTCCTGAGTGTAGCTAGGGATGCACGCTGGGTCCATTTATCCCTGCGCTGCGAGGATGACCCCAGCAAAAACCCCAGCCAAACTAATCCCCCCATGTCAATCCTGCACGGCCTCTTCTACATACGCCTGCAGTTTAGATTAATAAACTGTCCGCTTCAAATTGTGTGTGAGCACCACAATTCTAAATACCACATGGCACATTCAGCCTGCTCTTGCCGGCTCTTGCCAAGGCCTGTTCAGCTGCGAACTGGGGGCCTGGAGGCCTGAAAGCAATCCATACTCCCCCCAGCCCCCACCTCCTCCAGCCTGCACAGTGCTGAGGCGGAAGCATGCAATTCCCTAGGAGGCCTCCCCAGCCTAGAAAACCATGCCAAATCGCCAGTGACAGCCCAAAGAAAGCAATTTGGGAAAGATGGAGCAGCCATTTATCCTTCATCTCCGATTGAGCCTTAGGATGTGACCCGCATGCGGTGGCCACGCCGCACATCCTCAGGCGTGGGCCCGGAAGGGAGGGGCTCTCTGACTTGGCCTCAGGGAGTCAGAAAGGGGCTGAGGAGGGCCTGGGTGGGATTGCCTGCAACGTGGGGCCCCTTCTTTACCCACCCTGGCCCCGTGGGAGGTCTAGTGGGTGACTGGGCCCTGACTCAGAAAAAAGGTGGGCTTTTAGGCAATGTCTTTCTCCTCTGGTTCCAAGGAGGGAAAACAATGTGGACACCCTTTCCTCCACTCCCCCGCCCCCCCAAGATAGCTCACGCTTGAGCTTTTTTTCCCTCTCTCTCATTCGCTCTCGGTTAGAAGCCCTGAGAGGCCTCAGCATTACACCTGGGGCAAGCGGAATAAAAAAAGGTCACTGGCGCTTTTTAAACATGGACCAAAAAGCAGTAAAATGTGTTTTGAAAAAAAAATCCCGGCATTAAATCATGACTTTTTGCCTGGCTCTTCGCCTCATTAAAAGTGGCCTTTTGGAAGGTAAAATTATCATTGTAAGCGATAAGATCTTTAAGAAAATAATTCACGGCTTCTTCACCCTTTAATATGATAGCCGCCACCGGCTAATTTTTTTCTTAATGGCAACGACGCCATCAATCTTGTCTAGGGTGGCCTCACCCTCCCCCCCTCCTCCCTCCCTCTTCCTCCCTGTCCTCTCAGTCTCTTACTTGAACCTTCTACCTCGGGGCTCTTCCACCCATGACCTGCTTCCCTAAAGCCTACTTCAAAGCAGAGGCTAGACCCGGAAATGGACAACTTTGGGGATGTGACCACATCTTTGAAACTGGGTAAGCAGTGGCCCTTGTTTCTGTGTCTGATCAATATTCCTGAGTTGGTGGCTGCAGGGATCTGTGAGTATTTAACACTTCCTGGGTGTGTGTGCATTTGTGTATGTGGGGAACTAGGTGTGGACATGGGTTGTGTTTGTGTTTGTCCTCCCAATGGAGGCCTCACTGGGGTCCAATCCCCAGCCCTGTCAGCTTGCTCAGGTGTCAGTGGTTGTGGTGGCCAACCTGGCAGCTCGTCCATGACGTACGTTCTTTAACTACAACAATAAATGTAGGAGGCCGGATCAAGCTCAGCGAATGTGGCCTCACGTCTGAGTCCACAGTTGCTTGGTACTCCCCACCTTTTTTCTTTAGGCCTAGAAGGGTTTTGCTTCCATGCCTAGGGCCTGCACCAGTCCAAGGCTGGGCTACCTTCTCTGTCCTCAGTCCAGCTTGCTGCAGTTGAGGCATTTCCGGAATGAAGTTAGAGTCCACTCCTACCCTTTTTAAAGGCTTCTAGGGGACTGAGTCAGGCCCATAGGGGTGATGCTCGCCACTCTGGCTCCTTTTCCCAAAAGTGCTCTCTCAGCGGTCCCCAGTGACTGTAAGACTTCCAAATATAATGGTCGTCTTCTCTAGGCTTTCTCTATTTGACTGATAGCCATCCCCTACATGTGGGGACATTTTTCCCTTAGGAGTCTGGGATACTATACTCTCCTATCCCTCTTGTAACTGGGGGTATTCCTACTCTGCCTCTTCCCTGGCTTCTATACTTTATTTTGAGCTCCCAATACAGGGGTCCCCTAGATTCTCTTTTTCAAGTTTGCTTTACTCTGTTCATATACTCTCCTGACTGATTTAATCCATTCCCAAAGCTTCAAGGCTTACTCCTCACTCCCTGTAGAAAGGTTTAGGGATCCCTGCCTTTATGAGCCATTGTGAGAATTTATAAGAAAGGATGGCATCTTACACCAAGGGGTAGGAAAGGGGTCATTCAACGAGTAAGGGTTTATTCTCTTTCCCATGTCCCCCCACCCCACAAATTATCACCTTTGGGGAAGCAGGACCACCTGCCTCTGTGGCCACCTATGGGAGTTCTTGGTACAAATGACACCAATGTGCTGAGGCGTCTCTGGTCCCTCTTTTGAGTTAGTCACTTGTCTTTCACTTTTCCTTTCTCCATCTGATGCTGCCAAGCCTCTCTTCCACACTGTCTGTTCAGACAGGCAGACTTTCTTCTCAAATGAGTCCAGCATCCTCTCTGGCTCCCTGTTACCCTCAGGATCACACACACACACACACACACACACACACACACACACACACACACACACTCACTTCACGGTCTGGCTTCAAAGGCCTAACCTGTCTGTCTTGACCCGTATTTCTATTTTCCCCCATCTGTTATAGCTCACCTTCCTCTTTTGAGTCTTCGCAGTTTTAGTGTTTGGGTCTCCCTTGGCCCCAGGTCACACCCTCTCCTGACTGGAGGAAGAGGGAGTCAGATGAGTGTACCCTCGCTCACACTCAGTGTACACACACACACACCCTCTGTCAAGGTACAGGGCAGCCCTAGGCCTAGGCCTGGAGACAGCTGGGGAGCCAGAAAGAGCGCCTTTCCCTCGAGAGGAATCAGTTCTCAGCGGGCCTAGGGTAGGAGGGCAGTAGGAAAACACATAATTGGCTACCTACCTTGGGGGTACCTGGAGCCATGGCATCCTTCAGAAGGGAATTTTTGCTGCCAAGAAAGAAGAGAACAGGGTGACTACTCCACTTGCTGCCCAGGGCATGGAAGGGTAGAATAGCAAGAAGAGAGAAGGCATAGCTGGCACAGCCAAGCCAAGTTCAGCTCAGCTCCATCCAGCTTAGTGAACCCCTGCTGGCCCTTGCCTAGCCCAGCCTCCACCACAGGCCTAGGGCCAGAGCTGGTTTCCAGGAGTGGGATACAGACTCTGTGGTAGGCTCCACCATGGGGCTGAGGACAGGGACTTCACCTGACTCCCCACATCCTCCCCAAGGATTCTGCCTGCTTGGGGTACCCCCACCTCCACTCCCTGTCCCCAGTCTGTTCTTAGCTCCTGTGGGATTGGGGTGATAGAGCTGACATGGCTCTTGTCAATTCACCCTCCAACATGCTGTAAACTGCGTTAGGCCAGAAATGATCTCCCCCGATTCAATTTGTCAGCCCCAGGCCCTCCGGCATCGGGCGCGGCAGGCGGGCGGGAGCTGGGCCCTGAAATATGGTGGGCGGCTCAGAGAAGGCGGGGGCGGGGGCGGGAGGTGATGGATGGGCTGTGGGGGAGGCGAGGACTGTGTTTAATAACAAAATTGGTATGCAAGGCCACATCCCACGCTAAGCATGAGTGATCCAGAGCCACAAAGTATTACAAATCCCCGCTAAACAGATGCTGACAATGGAACAAGACGTATCAAATCAGATCCACTTCAGAAACATTAATATCCCTGTTCCTGTCCCTCCCTCCTTGTCGCCCCCACTATACTCACATCTGTGCTCACACATGCATTCACACACTCACACAAAAACATGCACGCAGAGGTGCTGGCTGATAAATGCACAGGGGCACACACAGCCCATTCATCTAGGGTCCCCGCACAAACACACGTACAAGGAGTACAGGTGGAGCACACCCACAGAGATGTCATGAAGGACAAAAGCCACAGACACACACCCAAGGCAGAACAGGGTGCATACGAACTCACTGATGAATGCACAGGGAACACCCATGCATGTGCACAGGCACCCACAGAGTTAGACAATGACACACCCAATATGTGACTAAAGCCATAGGCAGATTCAGATAAAGTAGTAGCTCTCACCTGGGAGCAGGGGGTTTGCTACTGGCATCTAGTAGGTAGAGGATATTAACTATCCTACAGTGCCTGGACAACCCCTCACAACAAAGAATGATCTGTCCCAGAAAGTCAGTACTGCTGAGGTTGAGAAACCCTAGTACAAAGGCAGATACACACATATCCATTAACTCTCTATCATTCAGTCAACAATCGTGCGCATATATGGGCTCACACCAGGAGCTCAGGCATGCGCAGGCATAGAATCCTACCTAAGACATAGCCATAAAAACACAGCAGTTACCCAGACTTGGAGGAAAAGCTGCTCAGGCACCCACACTCACATAAACACACACAGAGATACAACAGCCACTTGCACTGACACACATCCAGGCACACATGCACCCACAAATGCAGATGAATAGGGCCACACACTCACACAAACAGACATGCACGCCACAGCACAGGAGCCGCCTGGCTCGGCAGCAGGGTGAGGCTAAAGTCTGAGGGTGGAAACAGCTGTCTGCCTGTCCAGTCACATTGGGGGCAGCACAGACTGCAAGGACAGCCAGTGCAGGCTCCCTTCAATCACATTTGCTCATAAATGGCCCTTGAATTCCTGATCGATGCCGGGCTCTGAGATCTGAATATTATCTGAGTGGGATCAGGTTGGAAGAGAAAAAGAAAGAATGAACAATTATTGTGCATGCAACAGGCATGTGCCAGGTGCTTTATAGGTATAATCTCACTTAATCTTCACAAATACTTTGCGAAGTTGACCAACTTCGTAGAGGTTAAGCAACACCTCTACGCTCACATAGTCCCATGCAGGGTCTGGGATTTGAGTGAGTTCATGTCTGATCACGTCCAAAGTGTTGCTTTTCAATCTCTATGCTGCCTCCCTAAAGATACCTGGGGATTAGGAAGGAGGACAGAGTTGTGAGTTCTTTTTCTTTCTCCGCTTTGGGAAGTGTCCTACTGACTCTGACTTTAGCCACTCACTGGCAAAAAGAAATGGTCTCATTTGGAACCAGAATGTCCAGACTCTCCCTTTGCCAATCCTCTGGATCTTTCCCTAGCAATCCTCTTCCTTTCCCCCAAAGTTGGACTGTATTTACTCCAGACTCCTCCCCGTTTTCTGAGCAAGCACCACTTGACTTGCCTTACCTTTCCTCCAACAACCTGATCACATCCAAGTATACCTGGACCCTCAGAGACTGAGGAGACTGGGGACGGCCCCCCTTGGAGAGGATATCTAAACCCTGGAGCTGCAGGCAGCAGGCCCCTGCCTGCCCATCCACTCTGCCTCCTGTCCCTCCCTGTTTGCACAGCCCGCCCCCAACGATTTCCTCCCTTCTCAGTCACTCGCTGCCTAGTGATCCATGGGTTTTAAATTATAACTGGGACCCAGGAAACGCGTTCCTAAGTACAATATTCATGGGCTGGGCTGACACTTTTAATTAAGGTGATTTACACTGAATTATCCTTGGAAATAAAGAAATGGTGTGCTGCCCGGGAATAAACCATCATCACCAGCCGCCTTTGTAAGTTACACTTCGTTTTAATCTATTTGGGGAATTGTTTATCTAGTTCATTACCCAACCAAACACCGAGGCCGGCCTTAAATAAGGCTTAAATAGGGATGGGGACACTGCCATCTCCACACCCTGCCTCTCCTCCAGTCACCCAGCCTCCCTCTGGCCTGTACACGTCCAGGCTCCCAGTGCCATTTGAGGCTCACTTAGCATGCCCACAGCCCTGTCTCTTGTCTCCTCTTTCCTTCAGATACTTGCTTCTCTGCCATCATCACCCCTCCAGTCATCCAAGTCAGAATGCTCTTCCTAGCAAGTACCCCACTATTAATCAGCTAAGAGTAATCAGCTTCTCCCTCTTGATCCCTTGATCACTCATCGTTCCTTTTCCATTTCCACTGCCATGGCCATTGCCCTAGGTCAGCCTCATCATCTATTCCCTAGACCCTGTTCAACTGCCTCACCTGCCCTCCTGTTTCTATCCCCAATTCATGGTCCACGCTGGCCTCCAGGGGATTCTCCTACAGCTCAGCTCACCAATTTTCTAGTTCCCAATGACATCAGGACAACCCCTTGGCACCAAAGGCCCTCCCCAATCTGTCCTCACTCTAACTTTGCCCTCTTTGTTCTAACTAGCCACATCCCAGGGTCTCTTGGAGCCTTGTTCAGGATAGAGAAGGGGAAAGAAAGGAGGGGTTGAGGGAAGGCGTGTGGGCATAGCTGCTGATCTGGGACGTAAAAGTGCTTTGACAAGTGTAAGTGCTTTGCCAGTGGGTGTTCTGACTCTTTCCTGTAAGTGCCTGCGGGGATGAGCATCGTGGGCAGTGGTCTTTCAGTGCGGGCACGCACCTCGGTGTGGTTTAAATTGTGCATTGGAACCGGGTATGTGCACATGCCTTTAAACTGTGTGTGTATGTTTGTGCCTGTGTCTTTGACCACCAGCAACGGTAGTTTGGATAACTTAGGAGCTGGCTAGGCTAAAAGAGGGGCAGGGAGAGCAAGGCAGGCGAAGACAGGGCCAGGGAAGGGAAGATAGTCTGAGAGGAGAGGCAAGACGGGACAGGAGCAAGGAGCGTGCCCAAAAGTGTGTTGGTGAGGAGGAAGGCAGCCTCCGGTCATTTGCCATGGATGGGGGCTGCCCCGCCTCCTTTGGGGTCTGCCCAGAACTCTCTGAGTGATGCATACATAACTTTACCCTCCTGCAGGACTCAGTTTCCCCATCTGCGAAATGGCTGATCAAGGCGCTCAGGGGCCCAGGTGCCACCTCTTTCCAGCCTCCGCGGCCGGCCTCCCGCCTCCCTGAGAGCGGCAGGGGCGGGGCACGGGCAGCCAGGGCTGGGGCCCTCCCCGCGCCACCCGGGCACGCGGGCGCCGTCAGCCCGGAGGGAGCTGACACGCTCCTTGGGAATTTATCACGCACCCAATTACAATGTTAATTGGCAAGTTCCTGAAATCAATTAATTCGCAAATTTTTTCCAATTAAAAATCCAGATAAATCACGAGGAGGGCGGCGGCGGGCAGGTCCAGCCTGCAGTCCGGTGGGCGCGGCGGCCGGGGAGGGCGGCCGGGAGGGGCGGCCGCAGGCGCGCTGCCCTTGAACGCCTTTGCCGGCCGGGCGGACTGTCAGCGCGCCGGGCGCGGCGGGGCCGAGACAGATAAAACCATCGACCCGTCGCCGCCAGCGCTTCGGCTTTATCGATCCGACGAGAATTTCACTTGCTGTGCAGATCCCGCTGTCCGCTGTCAGACACCGGGTTGAGGCGGGGCGTGCCCGGGGTGACGGGGCGCGGGGCTGCGCCCGGGCGTGAGGGGCGCGGAGCGCGCGACCGGGACCTCGCCGCGAGGGCGCACGGGGAGGGGCGCTGGCTGGGGACTGGCCGTGCGGGTAGGGGTGCGGAAGCAGGGGTCGCTCTGAGAGGGTGTGGGCGAGGAGGGTCGTGGGTGGGCTGGAACGAGGCGGCTTTTGCCAGCAATGGATCTCCTGGGGAGTTCAGAGGTGGGGTCCTGGGGACTAGACTGCAGTGTGGGCCCAAGGAGAAGGCAGAAAAACAGCTAGGGCGCCCATTCTCCAGATGCTTAGGGGGCACAGCTTTTACAAGAGTCTGCAGGTCCCAACATATTGGCCTCTCTTCTCCTTTCCCGTTGAGGGGGAGCCTGCCATTGGGAGGGACTGTCCCCACAGCCAAGGCATAGAACTCAACTGCAGAAGGATGTTTCTTTCTATGCCCATTCACTCCAAACTATAAGAGTTCTGGGGCTGGGAGGGGGGTGGTGGGCACTGTTAAGACATGGGCACTGTTGCTTGAATTTGAATTTTTACACTTTACAGGTGGTGAAGCTTGGAAAAGTCATGTGACTCCTCTGTGCCTCAGTTTCCTCATCTGATGCCTCAGCATCAGTCAAAATGGAGTTAATAATGATTACCTATCTCAGAGGGTTGTGGTACAGATAAATTAATGCTGTCAAGTGCTTGACACGCAGTGAGTGCTCAACAAGGATCATTTTTACTATCATTAGTATAGTCTTTTGTGGTAGTTCTAAGTATTCCCACAAATCTTTTAATACTCTTCCTTTCAAGAGGTAGAGCTTACAAAGTTTAACTGTCCTTTGTTGAGTGGGATGGACTTGGTATCTTGCTTGTAATAAATAGAATGTGTTGGAGTCAGTAGTGTCTGACTTCTGAGACCAGATCATAAAAGGCATGGGGCTTCCTCTCTTGGATCACTTCCTCTGTGGGAAGTCAGCTGCCTTGTCATAGAGAAGCTCAAGCAGCCCTACTGTGAGACCCATTGTGGAGGAACTGAGACTCCCTGCCAAGAGCCATGTGAGTGAGCCATCTTGGGGCCCTGGTCTTGTAACCCAACCCAACCTCCAGATGACCACAGCCTTGGCTGACATCTCTACTGCAGCCTTATGAGAGACTCTACCAGAAGACAAAAAGGTACACCACTCCTCAGATAAGGTTGCCTGATTCCATGGCCCCTGGAAACAGTGAGACAGTGAATGTTATTGTTTTAAGCGGCTAGGTTTTGGGGTAATTTGTACCACAACAATAGGTAACTAATAGTTCTTCCTTCAAGCTTCAGCTCAGGCCTCAACTGCCTCGGGAGCCTTCTCTGCTCCATGCTGGGTTTGATGGCCCCTTGTGCTCCCACAGCAGTTCTCATCAAGAAGCCTTGTCCCTCAGGATTTCTAATTTTAGCATATCTGCTGTGGAAGTGAGCACCCTCAGGGTTTCTATTGCCTGCTTCTCCTCACTCCCATACTGTGAGCTTCTGAGGGCCAGGACCATTTCTGACTGATCTCTGCATGCCCTGTGCCCTGTAGGGGGGCTTAAGTGAGAGGGTAGAAGGAAGAGCATCAGTCAAATCTTATGACTTGAACAAGGTAGGGACTGAGAGCAGTGGCCCAGGTTGTTCCCCTGTGGCAGCTGGCATTTTCCAAAGATGGCTGCAGCCTATATCCCCCACATATGCTCCTCTGTAATATGAGCTTGCGACTTCTGTCAAAAGGTGGGTACATATCCTCTACCTCTGGATGTCCTCTAGCCCTGTGTGGGCTAGCACTGCTCTGACTAACAGAGTACAACGGAAGTGACATAAGGTGATTTCTGAGGCTCACCCAGATTCCATTGGCTGGAACATTTGCTTTAGAAGTCTAAGTTGCCATGTAAGAAGTCCAAATACTCCAAAACTGCCATGCTAGGAGGAAGCCCAGGCTGCACGGGGGAGCCATATGCAGGTGCTTTGGTCACAGCCCCAGCTGGGGTCCCAGCAGATATCCAGCATCAGCCACCAGATATGGGAATGAAGGAGTCTCTAGAGAGTCCCAGCTTCCAGCCACTGAGTCCATGAGAATAATTAAATGGTACTGCTAAGATTTAGGGTAATTTGTTACTCTCCTCCTCTGCTCCCTTTGGTAACCTGGCTTGTCCACAAGGCCTTGGAGGAGGTGTTGCTCAGCCCTGCAGGTGGGGACAAAGGAGGTGGAGTGGAGCAGTGGGGGACACCTCTAAGCATATTCTCATACCTTTCAGACCTTGAGATTCAGAGAAGGTACTGCTTACTTCTCTGGAGGACAGCACCAGGCTGCCCTTCTGGGGGAACTGCCAGGCCCAGGTCCTGCTTCTGCTCCCCTTTCCAGAGGCTCAGCATGGTTGTGCAGGGCCCATGGCAGTGGCTCATTCCTGCTCCAGCTCTTCTTGTGCCCTTTTGAGGCTGAGGCCTGAAGAGGGGTTACGCTGCTCCTATCTCCGAAAATAGAGCAAGAAGAAAGGCAGCACTATTCAGCGGGAGATCTGCGGACTACAAGCAGAATGGGGGAGAATAGCAGCAGGGCCTTGTCTCTACCTAGAGGCTGCGGTGTGCACCAGGTGGCATTTGGGGACCTGCAGGCTAGAACTCTGTGTGGAGTCCTTCGCCAGGCAGGCTCTCCTGTAGATGGCTTACCTGGTGGGCAGCTGGGCCAGCTGTTCCAGTTCTTGCTCCATATGTTCCTGCAACTCACTGGGCCTCAGCAGGACCTGGCAGATGGGGCAAATAGGGGCCTGGCTGTCAAACAAGGCTGCTGCCTTTTTCTTACCTGGTGAGGGAAGAAGAAGAGACACACATATAAGCTGGACTAGTCTGTGGAGGGAAAGCCAGCAGCTCAGTCCTCTGATCCCAGTCTGCTGTTGCCTTCTTGACCTGCAGGAGGGGTGAGTCTGAGGGTCTCAGCGCCCCTGAGTGTCTCTCTTCTTAGCAGCTCCAGAGACAGTGTCCGTGACGGTAACTCCGCAGCCGGCTGCCCCTCTGAGAAATCTATCGGGACACAATCAATGCTCTGTGCAATCAAACCTTGATCACTTCATTTCACACAGTTAGTGGAGAAGGTCTTGGTTTAATCATACCATCACCCAGAACAGCCAGCGTCCCCTGACTCTCCTTTCCACACTGCTTACACACTTCCCAACTGGAGAAGGAAGAAACCAGGGAGGGGGGTTGATTCCTGTAGTCACTTAACAGACATTGTCTGTGGACTGTGAACCAGGCCCAGTGCAGAGCAGTGGGTACACAGGAGATGATCTAGTCCTGTCTGGGAGGCCAGTTGATGGGAAAGACTGAAAAGGACGCAGGGGGCTTGTAGGATGGCGTTCTCTCCACTCTCTTCACAGCCTCTCCTCATCTCCATGCTGGACCATCTTGCTCCTGCTTATGGTGCTAACTCCCACCTCTGTCCTGTTGACCCTAGAATCTGTGACCTACCCTTGACCCCGCCCATGTCTGCCAGCCTCCTAAATCAGGAAGCTAGTGGACACCAGTGTCTGGACACTACACAAGAATCGGAGACTCAACCATCCAGAATTGAGTTCTTCGACTTCTTTGCCTTTTCCAAACCCGCTCCTCCTTCAGCAGCGCCCTATTCTCAGTCCCCAGGTCAGTGAACTTCACTTCATCTGTGGCCCCTCTCCTTGCCTCATCACCTCTCCCAAGTCCTGTCCTCCTTCTTCAAAATGCCTGAAATCTATACTCTCCTCCTTCTGGCCTCACTACCTCTCACTTGGGTAACCTCTTGTGGGTCTCATAGATTTTGGCTTCTTGTGGGTCTCATAGATTATGGGTTCTTTTCCTCCAAAATACCCTTCAAGCTGTATATTCCCAGTATGTGAACACATGTAGGTACAGTGCAGCTGTGCTGGCTTGGGGACTGGCTAGGAGTCTGAGCTCTGTCCCCGCTCTGTCACTGATGGTTACAGAACACACCATGTTAGGGAGGAGTCTGAAGGTTGCCTGGTGTACCCCTCTTTGGATGTCTAAGCCCTGTCCTGTGCCCAGTGCTCTCTTGGCCTCTGGTTACAGGCGTGGGGTTTAGAAACTCTATTCATCTAGAAACATACCTGCCTATTTTAGCTTACGCCCAGATCTTTCTCCCAGTTTCTTCTTCCTACTGGTGCCTGGAGAGGGTCAAAATTAGCTTTCAGAGAGATAAATGATGCCATTGATGACCAAGGTAGTTGCTTGAATAGGGTTGTCAGATTAAATAGAAGATGCTCAGTTAAATTTGAACTTCAGATAAATAATAAGTATATACACACACATATATATACACACTCGTTGTATATTCATATATCCCAAATATGAGACATATGCTAAAAGTCATCCATATTTTTCTAAAATTCAACTTTATATGAATGTCCTGTATTTTCATTTTGCTCAATCTCTATCAACCCTGTGCCTGAGGGTGCTCCCAGTTTGGGAGCACAAGAACTCACCTCCCTTTGACATGAGACTGAGGATGATCGTGTCTCTTAGATGCCTAGATGGAGTCATCTGAGAGCTCAGACAAGGGAGAGAATCATTTTCAGTGTGTTTTTGAGGAGTTGGAAAAAGAGTAGGCTTAACTAAAGAAGTGAATTTTTTTTTTACATTTTTTAAAATAAATTTTATTTTTATATTCCCCATACAATTGCAACCCCCTTATTTTGACCCCAATCCCTCCCCTCCCCGCACCCCACCTCCCATAGAGTGTCTCTGGTTGATAGTTTTTTGTTGATTTTGATTTTCACTTTCTTATACTTATTCGTTTTCCTGGTCCCTTATTTAAGTTTTCTAGATTCCTGCTATGAGTGAGACCATCCGGTATTTTTCTTTTTCTTTTTGGCTTATTTCGCTGAGCATGATCCCTTCCAGCGCCATCCATGTTGCTGCAAATTGCATGTGTTTATCTTTTTTGAATGCTGAGTAATATTCCATGGTGTATATGTACCACATCTTCTTGATCCAGTCATCTATTTTTGGGCATTTGGGCTGTTTCCAAAGCTTAGCTATTGTAAACAGTGCTGCTATAAACATAGGGGTGCAGGTGTTCTTTGGAATTGATGTTTCTGTGTCCTTTGGGTAAATACCTAGGAGTGGAATTGCTGGATCATATGGAAGCTCTATGTTTAGTAGGTCCAGAAATCTCCACACAGCTCTCCATAGTGGTTGGACCAGTTTGCACTCCCACCAACAGTGCAGGAGAGTTCCTTTTTCTCCACAACCTCGCCAACATTTGTTGTTACTAGTTTTTTAATATGTGCCATTCTCACTGGTGTAAGATGGTATCTCATGGTAGTTTTGATTTGCATTTCCCTGATTACAAGTGATGTTGAACATTTTTTCATATGCCTGTTGGCCATTTGCATTTCCTCTTCAGAGAAGTTTCTTTTTAGCTCTTCTGCCCATTTTTTGACAGGATAATTTTTAAGGAAGTGAAATTTAAGTGACATCTTAGAAGTGTTCCAGGGAAAGCATGGGAGTAAATGAATGAATGAATGAATGAGTGAATGAGTCATGAGTTCCTTGTGGGCAGGGACCATTTCTTATTTACCTTTACAGCTGTAAAGAAGTGAAAGCAGACTGACTGCGCAATCATGCAGCAAGGAAGTGGAAAAGAGGAAAGAAAGGAGGCAAAGTAGGAATGAAGAGCAGAAAGTTCTAGAAGCCAGAGGAACTTTACAGAGCTGGGATCAGGTGTGGAGGCTTTGTGTGTGCTGGGGTGGGGCTGTGGGCCTAGTCTGTGTGGCTACGTTTCTTTTCTTTTTTTCTTTTTTTTTTTTGATTTAGAAGATTTCCATTTTATTTTTAAAATTTTTTTTATTTCTTTAAACTTTTACTATTATTTTTTTACTATTTTATTTTATATAATTCTTACATCATTTTTCATTTTTGCACAATGTATGCATTTTCATTTTGGTTATATTCCCCATACAGTTGCACACCCCCCTTATTTTGACCCTAATCCTTCCTCTCCCTGCCCCCACCACCACCCCATAGTGTGTCTCTGGTTTATAGATGCTTGTTGATTTTGATTTTTACTTTGTATTAATTATAATTAGTCTTTTCCCCGGTCCCTTATTTAGGTTTTCTAAATTCCTGCTATGAGTGAGACCATCCGGTATTTTTCTTTTTCTTTCTGACTTATTTCACTGAGCATCTGCCATCCATGTTGCTGCAAACTGCATGTGTTTATCTTTTTTGATTGCTGAGTAATATTCCATTGTGTATATGTACCACATCTTCTTGATCCAGTCATCTATTTTTGGGCATTTGGGTTGTTTTCAAAGCTTAGCTATTGTAAATAGTGCTTTTATAAACATAGGGGTGCAGGTGCCCTTTTGAATTAATGTTTCTGTGTCCTTTGGGTAAATACCTAGGAGTGGAATTGCTGGATCATGTGGAAGTTCTATCTTTAGTAGGTCGAGAAATCTCCACACAGCTCTCCATAGTGGTTGAACTAGTTTGCACTCCCACCAGCAGTGCAGGAGAGTTCCTTTTTTTCCACAACCTCACCAACATTTGTTGTTGCTAGTTTTTTTTTTAATATGTGCTGTGGCGCTGCATTTCTGAGGAGGGGAAGGGACCTTAATGACCATGTGTCTTAGCGGCTATGCCTCAGATGCTCAGGGCCAGCTGGAAGGCAGCTCTGTGTAAAAGAGCAGATGTGGCTGTGGCCTGTGGGTTGGGAGATAAGGATGCTGGGCTAAGCTCTGCTTTTAACTTCTCTCAGTCCAAGAATCTCAGAGGTGACTGAGACCCTAAAAATTCTCCAGGCTATGATTTTTATTTTATAAATGGGGACACTGAGGCTCGGAACTGGCTAAGGACCCCTGTACTTGGCTCTTGATCTCATTGCTTCATTTATTTATCCATCTGGTGAACATTTATTAAGTGATCATTCTATATCAGTATTTATTCTAGTAGAAACTGGAATTCAGAGAGAATTAAAACACATTTTTTGGTGTCAAAAAGATCACAAACTAGTGGGAAAGTAAAAAAAGAAAGTTGGTGATTCCAGGCAGTGTGGCCCTGGTAGGGGCTGTGGGAGGTGTGCTGGGGCCCTGGGTGGTGGCAGGGCCAGGAAGGGGCTGCAGGAGGGCTGGTAGGACCCAAGGGAAGGCAATGCTTGACAAGAGGCAGAGGATGTATAAGGGAGAGTTGGCAAGGTTGTTGAAACATTGCTGAGGCAGGGCCAGGGCATAAGTGGGGGAGGTAAGGGTAAGAGAAGAGACCGGAGAAAGAAGAGGATCTGGGGCATGGGGCCTGAGCTGAGGTGGAAAGACCAGGGTTTCAGCTCCTTACAGTCTTGGTCACCATGGACTCAGGACTCAGGACACCATGGTCACTTAGGACTTCCTAGATCCTCAATTCCCTCCTCCATGTCTGGGGCCCAGGTATCAGCATTCCCAGAGAGCTGTTCCAGCTCATTTGCTTTCCTGTCACTGGGAGCTTCTGTTTTTCTGAATACAGCCTCGGTTTTCCTATTGGGACAATGGGCCCTCTTCCTGCTCTCAGCTTTGGGAATAGCATTGACGAGGGACCCCGCAGCCTGTGTCCTCCATGCCACCCCTATTTTCTCAGGGGTTAGAGTGGCAGGTGTCAGTGTGGCCAGGGCCTGCTTCCCCTCCCCCGCTGTGTTCTCTATAATTTTATATTGAGACCTGTGGTCATGACGTGGATTTTACTGCACTAACGACATGGCCTGCCCAGGTTTAATGACAAAATCCATACTCTGGCCCTGGGCCTGCTCCTCGTTTGCATAATTCCCAGAATACAGCTCCCTGA